GTTGCTATGAGTCAGTATTTGGTGTGAACATCCTTTGTGTCTTTAACACTGCAATTATGCAAAGATATGCCTTAACAACTGTTCCTCTAATATTCTGTGCACGCAATAAATATGTATAATACATCAACTGCAGTACATCCTCTCCACATCTCAGTCTGTTCACTTTGAAAGGCTAATTATAACTCAGATTTTATCTGTTCTTTTTCTTTGGATACTGATGAATTCTTTTTAAATCCCTCCATGACTGCCAGAGGAGGAGTCCAGGCACCACCACCCAGATCCCATTGAAGAACACCAGGTAGACCCACAGGTACAGCCAGTTGCTGGTGTTCAGGTTAGGGCTTCTGAATAGCCAGTCTGGACAGAAGGTCATCCAGCCTCCGTAAAACTCACACACACACAGTGTGATCTGAACAAAGTGCCTGGTTCAGAAAAAAAGTGAGACATTCACACAAATGCATAAAACGGCGTTAAAGGTCAAGAATCCCTTAATAATCATTTTATTTGCAGATTGTGGGATGGAGTTTGAATTGGAAATGAAAGCTGGATTGAGTTTGGCAAGTGGACAGAATCTAAAATGGATTGTATTTACATTAGAACAGATCTTTCTTCAGTATTATTTTGAAATCTGTTGCTTGATTTACCTGTAGTGTTTGTCTTTGATAATGGCGTAAACTAGAAGCAAGGCCAAAGAACCATCTAAAACCACTGTCAGAAGCTCCAGAGATACTATTGCCGGGTCTGAGTACAACCAGCGCTCATCTGCCTTGCCATATTCTTTCCCTGTTGAGTATTTTAATATTAATTAAATATTAAAGCTGCAGTCAATAAGTTTTTCCTCTTTGTCGCCATCTCTGTTTGAAAACCAGGAATTGCAGTTACATGTGGAATTATCTTCATAGTGTGTTGAACTCTGGCACGGCTCCAGCACGGATTAATCTAATGTTTTGAGGAGTATGTGTGGCAGTCAGTCACTGCACCGGTGTGAATCCTATACTTAGTAATCACAGATTCTAGCCTATGTCTTGGAATATATGACCCAAATAAGAATGTTCATCATATATTGTCATCTGAACAAGTAAGTAACAAGTCTACCACGTTTGTTCTGACCAACTGAGGAAAAAAGCATTACAATAAATTGCGCTACCAATGGTGATTAAATCTAAAGATCGGTTAGCTCATATCACATCAAACCGTTCAAATTATTATTATTGTTATACTTTATTCCCAGATTATTAATGTTAACAACATCAGCATTGCGTGACTATGAGTATAGTGTGTATTAGCGTGTAGATTTCAATTTCTGTACAGTCTAATCTCTAATTGTCATACCATTCGAATTTCATACCAAGAAATTCTTTTAACCCAAAAAGCAAACTATGCTCCGTTCGAACTGGTTGTCTTTAAAATACAAATCTTGTGCAATCCCAGGCTATCTGTAATCAGAAGCACATTTAAAACTGGAATATAATTTAATTTCATTCACATGTGAATGAAAATATATTTCATATCATCCTTTCTGGATTACAATCCACTATCAAAATGATTTTTTTGACATTTAATTATTCTAGCTGCTGTGAGAAAAGGCTATAAACGATCGGCCACCTGCAGGATCCTCACATGCCTAGTAGCCGGGACAACTTCTTTATGTTTACAGACGTGACGTAATGACGCAGTGCCATGCTCGAATTTCCCGCCAAAACCTACCCGTACCACTCAAATTAGAAAACATTATTATAAGCTAAACGTTGTGAATCGGGCTAAAGTAAGGCGATAGTTTTGAACACTGGCTGGTTATGCACTTGTTCAAATATTGATTTTGGATCATTTTTAACAAAAAAAAGTTACGGACTGCAGCTTCAATTTACTACATTGCTTCAGAAGACAGATCCCACTCTTTTTAGAGCAAAAATTGCATAAATTTAAACTAATTTATTTCTAGCCTGAACTACTCCTTTATTGTTACTATTGCATTTTGATTATATAGAATACTCAATGTTCAGTGAATGGCCTTTGAACTTTGTGCATCATACCAACAAACACCACTAGATGTCATCCTACTCTATCAGACTTTTTCTTCTAAACAAATTAGTTCATTTCATTAGTGCAAAAAAATTTTTTTTCACTTTACATTTGACTGTGTGTGTTGTAAGGTTGTAACACAGTATACTCACATAGCTCTGCCAATAGACCGTCAGAAGTTGCCACATTTCCAATAAATGACATGTAGACGAAGGGTCCCTCCTGCGCGGTCAAGCAGCCAGAGATGAGCAGACAGTTACAAACAGGTCAAAAGTGAACGTTCCTGCATGCACCTTTGTACCTACCAGAGTAAAATGAACAATTGCGTCGTAAAACAACCACACAAGGACCCACCGATCAACAGCTGAACATTTATTCCCCTATTTTTGCGCAAAAACAAACCCGACAGCAAACTGAGCCACACACGCGAGTAGAGAATAAACCGTTACTTTAGTGAAAAGTGCAGGTTCTTTGCCTTCTGCCATTATTTAGTGCACGTTTGCAGTAGTTCTTTACTCTATCTCAATGGTTGAATGACATATCCAGGCCCCGCCCATCGTTTTAATGGTGGCGCTTTGCAACCATAGACTCGTGCATAGCTCTTTCTGCGCTTCATCTATGGAAGGCCATAAGGGCCAAAAACACATGAATTTTAAGTGTCAACAAGGCGTTAAACACGCGTATTTCACGCGTAAACAACACGTATTTAAATACATGTCGTTTACGCGTGAAATACACGTGTTTAACGCGTTGTTGACGCTTAAAAGTCATGTGTTTTTGGCCCTTATGGCCTTCCATATTCATCCGTCCACGTCAGAGCGGAGTACGTTTTGGCGGCAGTTTGTTTTATGTTTTTACTGTCATTCACCGAGCGAACTGTCTAGAGCGCACTGTACTGCGCGGTGACGTATCTTTACGTACGTTACTGGCGTACGTATCCTGTCAGCTGTGCAAACTTGCGCAATCTGTAGTCTACGCACAATGACGCAAATCTACAGAACGGGTCAAATGAAACATCGCCTTAACTCCAATGTTTCACTGCAGAATCACTGCACCTTTTATCATGATCTTTTACCTAGAAACCCATTATAAAATGGCGTAAAACTGTAGTATGCATCCATAAGATCTTTTAATTGTCAAAAAAATAATATTACAGTTACCATATACAGGAGTCTGTGTCCCATCTGCTCCGCACTACCCTTGTTCTTCGTACATACACCATCATCTACTCCCCCCCTAGCGCTGGGAAGTCCGACTCATTTCCGCGATTCAGGCCTTTCCCAAAATGAACCAGTCCAAAAAAACGATCCAGCAAATTTTCTTAAACTAATTGGCATATTACTTTTCTAAAAAAGTTAAAATAAATCAATACATAAATGCATATGTTATCACTGATTTTTATTCAGAAGTATCAATAAGCAATTTCACGTATCCCGTTCAATTTGTTGCATATTTGATTCAGCTCAAAAGTGCATAAAGTGACTTAGAAGTATGATTTGCATATACAATAATTAAAAATTCACATGGCTGATTTTAGTGTGTTTTAATAAAAATAACATAAATAAATAAAACGTTCGTATGCGTGTTGATAAAACATACAATCAGGACATAGCCTAAACATTTCCTATATGGAAGCCCGTTTCCGCCACTGAATAAAATAAATAAATAAAAAGGTAATTGTGGTGATTACACTTCTGGCTTCTGACTTTTTTTTCTCGGGATTGCGAGTTTATATCAATAAATCGCAATTGTGACTTTTCCCCCCTCAGAACTTGAAGTTGTAAATTCCAATTTTGAGGTGGGAAAAAAAACGATGTTCTCAGAATTGCCAGTTTAATAACTTGCAATTGCATTTTATAAAGTCAGAATTAAGAGAATTGCAATTCTGAAAAAAGTCAACATTTCTAGATATAAACTTGAAATTCTGTAAAAAAAAAAAATTTATATGTTATATTTTATAACTCACAACTGCGAGTTTATATCAATAAATCGCAATTGTGACTTTTCCCCCCTCAGAACTTGAAGTTGTAAATTCCAATTTTGAGGTGGGAAAAAAACGATGTTCTCAGAATTGCCAGTTTAATAACTTGCAATTGCATTTTATAAAGTCAGAATTAAGAGAATTGCAATTCTGAAAAAAGTCAACATTTCTAGATATAAACTTGAAATTCTGTAAAAAAAAAATTTTATATGTTATATTTTATAACTCACAACTGCGAGTTTATTACAGAGCCCCTAAAGGGACATGGTGGTGGGAAAAAAATTCGGGGTGGGAGGAACATTTTTTTTGCGTTCCCTCGAGAAACTTTTGCGTTTCCTCAAGAAACTTTTGCGTTCTCTCGCAAAGATATTTGCGTTCCCTTTTGCGTTCTCTCACAAAAATATTTTGCATTCCCTCGCAAAACTTTTGCATTCTCACGCAAAATATATTTGCGTTTTGCGAGGGAACGCAAAGTTTCTTGAGGGAACGCAAAAGTTTTGCAAGAGAATGCAAAAAATCTGACAAATGTTTTTTCCTCCCACCCCAAATTTTTTCACTCAATCGGATTTTTTCCCACCACCATGTCCCTTTAGGGGCTCCGTAGTTTACATCTCAGAATTCTGAGAAAAAAAGTCAGAATTGCGAGAAAAAAAAGTCAGAATTGTGAGATAAAAAGTCGCAATTATCTTTTAAAAAATTCTGTGGTGGAAATGGGCTTCCATAATTTCCTTATCCAGTACAATATACAGTCAATAGGCCTATTGGAAGCGGATCAAAAAAGTTCATCAAAGTTGTCCTAAGAAAAGAACGCATTTTGGTTTTAGGACAACTTTGATGAAAGGTTTTGATCCACTTCAAATGGTGACTAGTATATTTACGAAAATGAAGGTTCAATGAGTCGTGACTTGTGAACCGGTTCATTAAAAGATCCGACTCAGATGAACGATTCAAAGACGAACCGGACAGCGCTACACCCCCCTCCGCCCGTCGGTCGGTACTACAGACACACATACACACAGAGCCATGGCCGAGAACGCCGGCTTGGAAAACCATCGCATTAAGAGCTTTAAAAACAAGGGGCGAGATGTGGAGGTAAGTCCACCAGAGACCTTGGACTCTGGGTTTTATTTCAGTTCAGTTTCCTCCTGCTGAGTCTCTGTGGTTCTGGTTGTATGGTGTCGAATCGGAGCGGGTGTTTGTGGATCCAGCAAGAGCATCATGCGGAGCGGGCGCGGCCTAGACAGAGGCCTCTTTAAACACATTTGCCTTCAATATTCACCAGCTCTTCGCGGCTTATACACGGGCTTGAGTTGGTATAGCGCATTATTTAGTCGTGTGACATCAAGACGGGTTTGTTTATTAGACCGGTTTAGTGGTTCAGCAATTAATTTTTTCATTTTAAATTACGCTGAGCCAAAACATGCAGATTTATCGTGTTAGCATGTGTGCTAACGGCTAACTGGTTAGCAGGCGGCAGATTAATCGTCCAGCAGCCCGTTTATTCGTGTTTTTTCGTACCCATACTTTTAACATTCATGTATAGAAGATAAACACCCTAAACATTATCACATAATGGGAAATATAACTTGCGAACCAGATATATGCGACAGAGACCGGTGTGTTAACACCGGCTTTAGCAATCTCTCCAGAACTGAACTAATAACCAGTCAACGTCTGACCTCTTTATTGCTTGTTTAGTCACGCCAGGTTGACAGGCCTGTTGTAGGTGATTTTAGTAGACGTGTTCATTGATTAGAGCTGTTTGTGGTGTTTTAATAAATATGTCATTGTGAAAAGACAGCTGTTTCACATCTTTTCCTCTTCAGTCAGATTGCCCTTTGGTGTGGCAGTTAGCATCTAGACATGACCTGTAGATACACCAGAGCTAAATAAACTTGATTTTATTGCCTACAAACTGGAAGGGAGACCTCCAGACGGTCGTGCTCCTGACTGCATACCCCAGTGTAGGCTGTAACAAGGCGACCTAGAAATACTAGCAAGCCAGGTTGTGCAGTAAAATGGTAGATTATATAATGCAGCAGTGGAGTTTTTTTTTTTCACTGTTGGCTTGAACACTAGGCAACTAAAGATGTAATGTAGCCTGTTGTAGGTGATTTTAGTAGACGTGTTCATTGATTAGAGCTGTTTGTGGTGTTTTAATAAATATGTCATTGTGAAAAGACAGCTGTTTCACATCTTTTCCTCTTCAGTCAGATTGCCCTTTGGTGTGGCAGTTAGCATCTAGACATGACCTGTAGATACACCAGAGCTAAATAAACTTGATTTTATTGCCTACAAACTGGAAGGGAGACCTCCAGACGGTCGTGCTCCTGACTGCATACCCCAGTGTAGGCTGTAACAAGGCGACCTAGAAATACTAGCAAGCCAGGTTGTGCAGTAAAATGGTAGATTATATAATGCAGCAGTGGAGTTTTTTTTTTCACTGTTGGCTTGAACACTAGGCAACTAAAGATGTAATGTCATTTTTATATTGTTATGTTTAAGTTTTATGACATCCCTTTCAGTTAGCTCCTCAGGGCTGGGTGATGTGATATTGAAATAGTAAAATTTTAAACCAGGTCATTTATATTCATCACTTACCATGGCAGTGATAAACATCACAAAAAATAGACTTGTGACTACACCAAATTTATAATCCTCAAGTTTCATAATTCAACATAAATGAATGACTCCAACCTACAACTACTATAAGTATATCAAACTTTATCCACATACAGTCCACTCATGTAATCAATATATAGGCTATATATATATAGCAAATCTCTATATTATCTTCCCACTATATAAAGTTGGATAAATATAATATCCAGATTTATCCACATGCATACTCGCATAAAGTGAAATAATCTATATAGCAAATCTTACCTGCTTGATTGTTTATATCATCACAAAATGTAAACTGTATTATCGGCCAGTATTATATTTACAGTTTTATATATAAAGACAAAGTTGGATGTATATATATATATAATACATCCAACTTTGTCTTTACTTAAAGAACAGTCATGTAAAGCACTAAATAGCGAATGTCAACTCCTTGATTGGCAAAATGTAAACTATATTATTGCACAGCTCTATATATTAAGTATATGTACATGAAGTACACTCACGTAAAACAAAATATATAGCAAATATCAACTGCTCGATTGTTTGTCTTTGAATATTTAACTATATTATCACCCAGCTCCATATATAAAGTTGGATATATAGGCTAGTACATCCAACTTTAACTGCATACATATTTACGTAAAGCAATATACTATATAGTAAATCTCAACTGCTTGATTGTTTATATCACACAAATCATATATTGTTGCCATTTTCTAATCTGCCAACTTTAACTATAAGGCATTAAAATATTAAACATCATGATTTTCTCTTGCTGCTTTGAAAAAAATGTGTATTGTGAAAAGGACTATACAAATAAAATGTAATTGATATCTTTAACCAAATGCAGGCAGTTAAGTTGAAACATGGCAGCTATCTCATCTAACGCCATCTCTAACCCAAGGACCACCGTAATGAGCTTTCAAAGTCACTTTCAAATGAGTTGTATAAAAGTTAAGGTGCTGCGATCACATTTATAATGAACTAATTTACTCTTATACCCTGTTGATACTAGACATCATTATCATCATCTGCCGTGGGCTCATGAGAGTAACCCCAGAGGCCTCCTTCAAGATTAACAGTGTGAATTGACTGCGACTGTAGGGTGCTGGTGTGACTCAGCCGTCAGACACATGGCTTTGGATGAGGCCGGCAAAGCTGTCGCCCTTCTGCAGCTATTCCCGGAATTTGCAAACCAGATTCAGATTTCTCATCTTGTGTTCCTATAAGAGCGAAGGGCTCATGCACAGTGGCTCAGCTGACCTATTTGATGTGGCCAGCAACGGACTGTGGAACTGTGGGATACTTTGACTCATTAGCTGCTAGATTTAGCTCATAACAAGGATGTAATCGTGGCTAACCAAAAGAGTAACAAGTGCTTCTGTGTTTTGCATTTGCATAAGTAGCTGTGGAAAAAGAAACAAAGATGTTTGAGTAGTCTGCTATATCACACATTCTCTTCATACAAAGATCAAAGAGTTCATGTTCAAATTTGCACATTAATGCACAATATTCAAAAAAACCTTTTTGATTGGATTATAAGGGCTGAGTGTTGACAGATTTCACAATTTGATTTGCAGTCATTAATTAATTCAGTTGATTCATTTAGATATATTTTCGAAGCTGTACATGTAAATTCTTTTAAGGAAAAAATCTCTCAATTAAAGATGTAAACTATACAGAGAACCCTGTCAGTTGGTACGTTATTGTGATATTAAAGTTTTACATTTACAAAAGAGTCCAAACTATTAAATTCAATTGCTATTTATTTTTTTTTATTTACACATTTTTTACTTGTTGTATGCAAACATTTGAGTTGCACACAAGGCAATGTCGATAATGTCGACTAATTGTTTCAGCCCTAGTTACAAATAATGTTGTAGTAAAGTTTTGTTCATACACCAACATTAAACAGCCTAGAGTAAAAGATCGATCTTGGGATTTAAGACTCAATATTGAGTAGTGGTCGACCGATATTGGTTTTTTGACAGCCGATGCCAATATCTTGGAAAGCCGATATAATTGTATTTATTTTAATTAATATTTAAGAAATTTGAAATCATTTGAAAATGGATTTAAAAATAAATGTGTAAAATAAACATACTTATACTTTAAATGACAATGTATTTTTCACAAAAAAACTAATATTTAATAAAAAGTAAACATTGTAACCAACAGGGCACTAAGTATTCTGGGAAGTTTGTGTGCATTGGGAATCATATTTTTTCAAATAAAGCCAAGGTAACAGTAATTTTACACACAGAACACAGTGAAAATGACATGAATATGACATTGGGCAAATGGATAAAGCGCAGCATAATTTGAAATCACGAGTTGATCACGCATCTCCAGTGAGGCAGAACTCTCCTCCTGTCCGCATTCGATTCACACGAACCGACCGTCATACAGAGAACACGCGATCATGCAGGATACACATGCACACTTCACGAGATCTCAACTGGATTCGACTAAGTTTGCAAGGTTTGTGAAATTAAATGTTCATTAATAGACATTCAAAGATTAGTTCAAATGATTTAAATGCGTATTTGCTGAATGCTGACGGCAAATGAGACAGTATTATAATGTTTGCTTTTCTATTACTAATAATATAAAAGCAATCGTTATAATTAGGGCTGCACGATAAATCGCATACGATATTTAATGCGCATCTTGTCAGAAAGTCGGTTCTGTAATCGGCAGTAAATCTCCATCACGTGCGTGCTTTCACATTGAGCAGCATTAACTACACAGAGCCGTTGTTCACTGACGTGCTGCGCAAAAAATTGCGCAAATATGAACGTGGTTTTGCGCTGCTCATCAGTGAACAACGGCTCTGTGTAGTTAATGGTGCTCAATGTGAAACCACGCATGTGATGGAGATTTACTGCTGATTACAGAACCGGCTTTACTGATAAGATGCGCGTTAAATATCACATGCGATTTATCGTGCAGCCCTAGTTATAATACTTTTTTGCATACATTTTAATTGCTTTGTTTAACCGTTCTATCTGATTATTAGACAGAACTGTTGACGACAGCGAACAAGAGGGAGAATGTGAGCACTGTGTGTTCAGGCGCTGCCATTTTCAGCGCCGTCAAAATAAAAGTCCCGCCTCGAAAGCATCGGCTAAACAGAAAAACCTTATCGTCTGATGCCGATATTTGAAAAATGACAAATATTGGCCGATATATCGGCCTTGGTGATATATCGGTCGACCACTAATATTGAGAGATTGTCAACCTAGCCATACTGAATTACTTGAAGTCTTTCCCTCAGTAAGCCTACATCCTGCTGTTTTGCATTTTCCAGATGCTGTAGCTAAATCATGTGCAGGTAATTTGTATAATATTTACACTTTTGTTTTAAAGCAACTTACAGTTGCATTCAAGATAAACATTTTATCAGTATGTGTTTTCCCTTGGACTCAAACATGGCCTTGTTGTTGTGAGCTGCGTAGTCTAAAAATTTGTCACGCCTGATGTCTGTGGATATAATGTGGTCAGCCTATTTATTAGTATGTCGTGGACCTAACAGCAGTGAGACAGCATGTCCTCAGACCACGCTGGCAACCAGACAAGCACATGCACACATACTGTGTCATTATGCTGGTCTCTAGAGTGCCAAGCTGTCATGTCACCAGCGATGCATCGCTCCGCTGACGCCTGGAGTGCTTCCTCTCGGCTCTGCCCTCCTGTCATTCGGCTGTGACTCACACATATCGCATGCGCCGCTAAAATACCATTCATGTTGAAACTCCAGGAATCCGCTTTGTGTTGAGAATTTCTTGCTTTTATTTGGTTTCCTGAAATGGGCCGAGATGTGACCTAGTGTTAGTTTAACTTTGAGCCATGATGCTTTTGCAGGTGAAACAAGTTTGAATCTGGCATTAATTGAAATAGTTTTCTGCGCAATGTACTCTTATGATTTAAAGTATGTGCCAAATGCACAAATTGAACTCTTGCGTATCCGATCATGCTCTGACGTCCTTATATATTTAATACGTCATTACTTGATTGGCTCTATGACTCTCTCTCCTCTGTCTCCTCTCCACCTGTAGCTGGTGTGTGGTGAGTGCACTGACACAGTTGTGCTGTGGCTGCCATCGCAGCATCCAAGTGGAAGCTGCACACTGGTGGTGGTTGAGAAGAGACCCCCTCCCCACATGATTGTAAAGCGCTTTGGGTGTACAGCAATACACAATAAAGTGCTATACAAATACATCATTCATTCATTACGAAATAAACCTTTTCTGTTTCCCTTTCTTGTTTGTTCGGTTTGCTTTACTTCAACATTCTCTTGCTTTCCCCCTCTCCATAGTTTTTGGATTACATAAGGCACAGTATGGGTTTGCTGGAACATGAACTAGGATGCCCAGTCACAAGATCAAATCCGATCCGTCCCACCATTCCCACCGCACAGCAAATGCAGTCTTTACATCATTGGCTGATGATGTTTTTCTTTTTCCTTCTATGTCCCATTGAAGTTATATTTCAAAATATTATTTAAATAATGGTGTAGAACTACTTGTGATGGATGGTCTGTCCATCTTTTGCAATAAAGTCAGCATAAAATGAAAATTCACCCTATTTATTTTTTAAATGCATGTTATATGCATGTCCATGCATATTTCGTTTTGTTTTATGAATTAGACTTTGTAATGTTTAATCATATTGTCATTACTGGGTCTTCCAGTGAAAACAGACTTCTTTCTAACATATGTAGGGAGTACTCCAATCATTTATGGCGCTTTTCCACTGCGTGGCACGGCTCGGTTCGGCTCGGTTTGCGTTTCCACTGCTGTTTAGTATCGCTTTAGAATGGGCGTGATTATTCACATGTTGTTATAGTTGTGCCGCCTCTACTGCCACGACTCCTAAAAAAACGTTTTCATTCCGCATCGCCCCATCAAGCTCTCGCTGGATCCGCTCCTCTGCTATCAACGAGAGGAACGTCTGTTCTTCCACAACAGGGGGAACAGCCACTTTTTGGTTGTTAAAAAAAGGTGCGCTCGTTCAAAACAGTTGCGTTCGATCCTTCGCTGGCTGTGCTGATTTAAATCTAGCGGTTCTGTTGTGTTTGTGTCTCATGTCGCAAGTTCAGTGACACTGGTAGTGACGATTTTCTCCGGCCAATCCGTGATCAGCAGAGTTTACACGTCACGTTTTGGTAATGGGTACGGTGCGCTTGGAACCCCAACCGAAGTGGTACTAAAAAATGTACCAGGTACTGTACCCAGTGGAAAACCCCCAAAAAGTGAACCGTACCGTGCCGTACCATGCAGTGGAAAAGCGCCATTAGTTACTACTATTTGTTTCTTTAAAATACATGAATCTTGCAATGCCAATAGCCATAGATGCTGGTATGGCAATAAATAAACAAATAAACCAATCATTTAGTTTGCTTAATCTCCGCCCCGCAAACTCATGTTCATCTGCATCTACTTTTGAGTACAACGCCCACATCTCACAAGCCAATCAGCAACCAATACTTAAAGGGCACCTATTATGCCCCTATTTACAATATGTAATATAAGTCTCAGGTGTCCCCAGAATGTGTCTGTGAAGTTTCAGCTCAAAATACCCCACAGATAATTTATTGTATCATTTTGAAAATGCCTATTTTGAGTGGAAGCAGAAACACGCTGTTTTCGTGCATGTCTCTTTAAGTGCAAATGAGCTGCTGATCCCCGCCCCCTTTTCCAGAATAGGGCTATGCTTTTACAGTTCATACGTCAGATACTCTGCCAAAAAACATCTGTTTGGTTTTGATTGTCTATCGCACTGAAATCATGCATTTTAAAGCCATATAAGTTTAAACTTCTGATATAGGGTTTTCTGAGCGCACGCATCTGAAGCATGCGCACAGAAAGTGACAGTCACTCGTTATGTGAGTACTAAGTTCTCTTTCATGTCTTATTGCGCATAAACTAAAGCATAAAAATATACTCAAGTTTGTTAACACAAGTTACAAAAATACAGTCGGGTATATCTGTGAAGTTAAACAGCTTTATTGTATTAATTTATGTGTTTCGATAACCTGTTACACTTGGATGTAGCTATATCACAATTTGGAAGAAAAATGGGTGGCTTTGCTGTGTTTGTTGCTTCAGACATGTCTGGTGCAGATGTGTGTTCTATTGGGTTTTGAGCAACAGTTCTAATAGAATGGCCACAAAATGTGATTGTCTAAATGAAGGAGTGAGTGACAGCTGGGTTCTGCTGTCACCATGGTTACCACGGTTGGTTGCCTCTTTGTTCTGTTGGAGTGGCCAGACTTTAGTTGCCATTAATGTTGCATTTTGTTTCAGTCGTTACAGCCCATTCAATATTACAGTGTATGAACGAATCACTTGTGAATTTGAACAAACCGCAAAACCAAAGTATTAATCTGGCATCCACCCATAATGCTCTGGCAATACAAGGGCGCCTTTTCTTCATAAAATGTTACATTTTAGCCATTATCTTTTTTTGTCACTATTTATACATTAGATGTTGTAAGGGAAACCAGTCAATTTAGCTCAAAGGGAATCATTTAAGATTTTAAAGGGAATTTGGACAGAATCACTGTTTTACGGCTGATCACTGAGACGGCCAGCGATTCATTGAACGGGCCATATAACATCAATTCTGCAATGGATATTTATATCCAAAATATAGTGAAAACACTATTAATTAGCACAGTAACAAGATCGGCAGTTTAAGACATGAGCTTGAAAGCACAAAACAAGATACTTCTCTTTTCAATATAAACAAGGCTTTATTGGATAAATCTAAGACATACAAACTAATCTAACACATAAACACACGCATTCACACAAGTTGCAGAAAGAGAGAACGTGAGGAAATAATTAGTTTAAGAGGATGAAAATGTGAAATCTCAAGTTTACAGCAAAATATGCAATTGCATAGATCTGAACAACCGTCAATCGCTTAATTAACCCTCGCATTGAGTTCCTCAATGAGGTTAACATTTATATTAAATGCACCAGTTCAGCTAGAATCTGGAGGTACTTGGGTTGTGTGCGGGGTTCCCTTCCTTGTCTGGTTGCCGAAAGGGGTTTCCCGCGGTCGCTGATTGGCTGGAAGTTCAGTCTTGGGAAGCCAGTGGTTGGGTGTTGGCTGATGACGCGGAGTTGTGGTCTGGTTAAAGTTTTAGACGGCAGTCACGGCATTCGAGGTCGGACTCGGAGACATGGCGTTAGGTAAAACTTAACTCGGAACACAAAACTCTCAACGGAAAATAAAATAAAGTAAAGAAATAGAAGTAAAGTTTGACGAGACTAGGTGGCGTTTCTCCTGATGGTTTTGGAGGAGCTGGCGTGTAAGCCAGAGCACGCTCAAAGAGCGCAAAAAGCGATGACTGAAAAGCACGGCTAGAAGCCATGACCAAAAAAGAAGAGAGAAGAGTGAAGATTTGATGGTGTCTTGAGTATTTAAACTGGGCTTTTGGACACCTCCCAAATGGTGTTTTGACCAATTAGATGTCGTCTTTGCTCGGGGTGTTGTATATTTCTCCACCCAATTCATAAATCAAATGTTATCTTATCAGGCACATGGTCCGAGTTTTCCGCTCTTGCAGAGTATAATTTTGGACATGATTTCTATAACAAGAATATGATACATTTGACAAAGAATTGATTGGAAGAAACGTTTCCAGCAAGAAGATTCAAACACACGCGTACTAAACATGAATATGAACCCTTAAGCTATTCAATAGTTATTCAAAATACATACTCAATAAATGATTAAGACCTTATAGTCACATGTGGGTTACATACATAATATGGAGTTATGCATAGAAATTATTAGTTGCTCACAAGTCCTTTTAGTGTCATTTAGGTGCATGGAAAGGCAGTTTCTGTGCCATTATGTGAATGTATGAAGACCAGAGATTAAGAGGTCTGTAAGGAATCTCTGAAAGTCTGTTCTTTATCTCCTAGGTGGGGGAAGTCAATCCACAGAGCTCGTGATTGTGGTTACTATCACGTGATGGTCATGCTGTCATCTCTTTGACCATTTAATCTTGATTACTTGCCCTAAAATTGACAATCTCCTTCTTGAGTTGTTATGATCAGTGCTTGCTTCAGACTGGCTAGTGCTAGGATCTGATTTATGAACATCCTGTTGTCTTGGGCCTCTGTGGAATTCGGCTCCTCATGTTTCAACCATGTTTTGACCAAATCTTAGATTGTCTGATATCCTACTATATGTTGTACTGTAGTTAGCTCATATTTCTTTCATTCTTTTTCAGACGATGCGAAGACATCGCAATGAAGTGACGGTAGAACTGAGAAAGGTAAGTTCACAATAAATGTGAGGTCTGTCATAGTTACAGGTGTATATGCATATTCACTGTTCATTTGCAGGTTTCCTCCGGATGGAGGTATTAAAGCTACAGTGTGCAGCTTAACATTGCATTCTGATGCAATACATGTGACTCATCAGAGAATGCTGGATGAAATAAACTAGACTTAGAACACTGGATTCTCATCCTCTTTAGGTTTTTTTTCATTCCTAAATAACTATGTGCACTCTCAGCGACAACATTAAGCTCTGTTTATTGTGGTGATTCAGTGCGTACTTGAGATTTGTATTTACTGCCTAAATAGTACTGAATAGTTTCTCAGTCTCATTTAGGGCTGGGCTGTAAAGCTAAAACAATTATATCTTGATACTTGATCTTTTTTTTTTGGCAGTATTTTCTAGCGTTATTTATGTATTTGCTCTGAAATGGTATGAAATGATCTGTGAACTTGTAGTCACTGACGCATCATCTAAAATGTATTAATCAAAATGATTCACAGATGTTCTAGTGCCATCTCTGATTTATCAACAACAAATATATTGCGATTTATTACTGTTTCAGTTCTCTTGAACTAGCCTAATAATGGCTAAGTAAAAAGTGTTTTTGCAATGTAGCTTGTAGGGATGTAACGATTAACCGCGAGCTGGTTGAAAATCGATTTAAATATGTGACGATTCAAATCGGTTGAGATGCTAAACAAATCGCGATTCAATTAGGGGTAGTTTATATGAATGTATGTCTGAGGGGAACTTACTGTCTTTAGAAAAGTTTAGATGGTATTTTCTCTTTTCATCTTGCCTCTGTACAAAGCATTAAAAAATTCATATAGAGTTCATAAGTACATTTACATTATATTTAAATTTTGTCATTTAGCAGACGCTTTTACCTAAAGCGACATACAAATGAGGACAATAGAAGCAATCAAAACCAACAAAAGAGCAATAATATGCAAGTGCTATATTAGTATATTATTATAGTGTTATATTTCAATTTCACAAAGAAATGTGCAGCATTTTGTAATAAAAGGACATTAATTTATAATTTGTTAAAAAAACTTGTGAATCGAATCGTGAAATCAAAATCGTGAATCGAATCGAGAAATCGTGAATCAAATCGAATCGTGAGTTGAGTGAATCGTTACATTAGCTTACATTAGTCCCTAGTAGCTTGTAATTATATATTGCAGGACTTCAGTACATATTCGATCGCCCAGTTCTAATATCATTCATCCAGTATCATTTTTAAGATGTGACTTGCAATCCTGCTAACTGACCCACAGTGTGATAATCTCTTGACGTTGCTCTGAGAATTTACTTGCAGTGTTGTGTGTGAGATGATGCGATTGTGTGGGTACATCGCTGCAGGAAATAGAGGAGCATCTGTAGTTTAAATATGGCCTGGGCAGGGAGCTCTCTGGAGTCTCTTCATGCATTACAGTAGACTTAAGCAGGTGGTGATTGCATGAAAACAAATATTTAAATGCATTTGGTATTTGGAAAGTGTTTATTTCAAACTAATTAAACAGATTGACTATACAATAGAAATATAAATAGATTTTTTTATGTATGTGGATTATAAAACAACAACAAAATGTTTTTCTGTAGAAGCCTTCTCATGGCTTTGTTCTCTTGTCCGGTGAGCTGTTTCTGTTGGAGATCTGTTTGCGCTTGCAGTATTTGGGTCACGCCATCCATGGTCACGGGGCCCCTGGCTGGCTGCACCCCAAGAAGAAGGGTTGTCATGAGGGGCTTCCCTCGTCACACAGTGTTGGCAAGGAACTCAGAACCTTGCTAGAACTATTTGTGCATTTGTGGGTTTCTACATCTATTAAAAAACTGTAACAGATCCCTACTTGAGAATGTAGCATGTCATCACCAGAAGCAAAGTTGCCTGCAGCCTCTGACAAAGTCCATTAGTACAAATGGATACCCGAATACTTTGGGTCACGTCTGAGTGAGTAGAAATCCCCTGTTGTTGATCTACTAGGCCAGAGTTGATGTGGAGCAGAAGTTTAGTCCTACAGCCTTGATGTTGTTGATTCATTTGGTGCTGGATTGGGTGACACAGCAAGTCCTGTCCATATTAGGCAGTTACACTGTCAGCCCAGAGGAATCAGGCATAATTCTGCTGTACTGCTCTGTGTGCGTTTGTGAGCGAGACATTCCTCTTTGCATTCCTGTTTGCTCCAACATTAGAGTCACAGACCGCTCACTAACATTATTTTTCTCACACTTTGTGTCCCATTTCGTCAGTTGCCTTTTTCAAGGGTTTGGTTATTGTGCTGTTGAATTCTATTTCATTGACATCAGCAGCAAAATATTCCATTAAGAGGCAATATCATGAGAAAACAGAAGATTGAGTAAAACTTGAAATATTTCCTCTGTGATTAAAAACCAGTTATTCAGACTACGCTGCTAGAGTGACTGAAACTGTTAGACTTCAAAAGCCCATAACTGTCCACAATAATTTGTCAACGTATTTGATCTGATCTTTCCGCACCTACTTGAGATGCAGAACAACCATCAGCATTAAAAAAAGCTGTCTGACTGTGTGTAGCACCTTCCACTCCGCAGTTCCTTCTTGGTGTTAAAAATTAGCAGCTGATGTTTATATTTAGAAAGGTTAAAATATAAAATCATTTCATTCTGATCCACTGTATTGAGGAAGAGGTCTGATGTCTTGAAGATACAGCAGAAAAAGCAGCCTGTTTGATTTCATGGTTATTAAAAATGAATACACCTTTGTTAAATATAGGCCAACATGACATTAATCAACACATGAAATGGTGTGTTTTCTGATTTCCTTAAATGCATTGAGTCTGTAAAATCTCAGATAGGTTTGAATTTGTATTTTGTATTGTATGTTTAGATCTGCATGATCTCATGAGGCTCAGGAACTATTAAGTTCATGTTATCACAGAGAACCTGGTGTTTATTTGGTTTCTCAATCCGTACAGAACAAAAGAGACGAGCATCTCCTGAAGAAACGAAATGTTCCGCAGGAAGAGAGTCTGGAAGATTCTGATGTGGACTCTGATTTCAAAGGGGTAAGAGGCTTTCTTCTCATTTCATCTCACTCCATATCTTCCATTTTCATTTATATAGTTTGTCTAAACTTTCCTCTCTATTTTCTCCTCAGCAAAATGTAACGCTAGATGCCATTTTACAGGTAAGATTCTAGCATGTGTTGATGTTAAATGGTGGTGGTAAGAGAGGCATTAACTCTGATAAATAACCGATACAGAGGGTCAGCGCACACATCAGCACTACACTTCACAAAGTGTGTGTGGGTGTGAGCGGCCCCTTCTTCCTCTCATTCTCCATTTCTCATCTTTTTCACTACAGAACGCCACCAGTGACAATGCAGTGGTGCAGCTCAGTGCAGTGCAAGCAGCCAGGTAAAATGTTGCGATATGTATATGAAAGGATTTGCATTTGTTATACGATGCCTTCTAATACCATCTTTCATAACCTTGCATCAACTTATAAAAATTGACTCTTTTTACTTTCTTAATACACATTCCTGGTGTTTATGATTTATCAGTAAATGTGAATCTAAAGAAGCAAAGTTTAAGACCTGCACTAATTTCATTCGTCGTTGAATGTCATTAATGTTACATTTTGATGTTAATATTTTATATAGAGCTGAAATAGTTGATCAGCTGAATGTAAAAAGCCTAACACAAAACAGAAAATTGGCATACTTTTTAAATTATGCTTGTAAGTAAATATAATTAAATATTTTTGGCTGGATTGGTCTCTTTGAAATAAATTGCATTAACACTGCTGGTATTTATTTGGAGTGCTGAAAGATGTTTGTTTTTCTCGTTTCTGTCCTTACAGAAAATTGCTCTCAAGTGACAGAAATCCCCCCATAGATGACTTGATAAAATGTGGAATCCTTCCAATCTTAGTCAAATGCCTGGAGAGTGATGACAAGTGAGTGACTACATGGCACTGAGTGAAATTATTCTAAACTTAATTGTGCTGTTTGTGTACGAATGTCGTCTTAGTTGCTGGTATAAAGTGTATGAGAGAAAAGAGTAAAGGACAAGAGAGGGTGCATGTTAGATGGACCGAGTTCCTCCGGTGAGATGGTCAGAGTGGACTGTGATCCTCAAGAGCTGTTCATCATACACTTCCATTCAAAAATTTGGGCCTCAGTAAGATTTAATTTTTGAAAGAAATTCATTCTACACCGATGCATTATATTGATCAAAATGAAAAAAAACTGACATTTTAAGTTGTAATAATGTTTAAGAATTGTAATATTTTTGCAGTATTTTGATCAAATAAATGTAGCATTGGAGAGCAAAAGACACTTATTGCAAAAACATTTTGCCGAAATTCTTATATTCAAGGGGTGTGTGTGTGTATTACACACAAGCAGCATCTTTTAAATGCATAACTATGAGGATAAATAAAGATTGGTACCTGATACACAAATGAAAATCCACCTTTTCAACATCTATGTAATGTTAAAACTTTAATCCTTTTGTTCACAAATTACTGGAAAGGTAATTATAATGCATTGGACAATAGGTGTGGGTACACTGTGTACGACTCATTACTTTTGGTCATGTCTGACTCGAAATCAGCCAAGAACTGTTACTGTGTTTGTGTACTTTAATAAAAAAAAAAAGGCTTTTAAAGGTCAGTTCTGGCTACAAACACTGAATCCTGTGGGAAAGTCCTGCGGAGTATCACAGAAGGTCACTCTAAATTCAGAGTGGTCAGAAGCAAAGTGTTGTTTATCCACCACCCCAAAAACATCTAAACTTACTTGTCTCTCTCTCTTTCTTCATCAGTCCTTCATTGCAGTTTGAAGCTGCCTGGGCTTTGACCAACATTGCATCAGGGACGTCTGCGCAGACTCAGGCAGTGGTCAAATCCAGTACGTTGTTTGGACAGGCTTTCCTCTTCATCCGTTCTGTGTATAGCTAATCGCTGTATGTTCTCCTCTCATTCTCTCTCTCTCTGTCTGTGTAGATGCTGTCCCATTGTTTTTGAGACTTCTCCACTCTCCTCATCAGAATGTGTGTGAGCAGGCCGTGTGGGCGCTGGGAAACATCATTGGTGAGTAACTGTGAAATGTCCTCACACTGTTACCGCCTCTGAATTTTGTAACTAAAAGTGAGAAAAATGAGAACAAGAATTTAAATTGAAACCAGTGAGAGGGGAAAAGTTTGACCTTTTTTTCATTCTCCTGGCAATGAAAACTCACTGAGCAGTATTATGTGAACCTTTGGATGTCATCATGCCTTGAGCAGCTGCTACATGCATATTGGTGGCATTAACACATTGAAAGCTGTTTGTTCAACCAGCATTAAACACCAAAGGAAGAATATATTATTTTACCTTTTTTTATTTATTCAAGGTTCACAAACCTTCAAAGCTGTACTTGCATTGCGCCACCTATAGTACTGGAGTATATTCGCTTTTTGTTCAGTCCAACAAATTTGTTTTGCTCTCGATGTGAATAGGTTTCTTTTTTGTTTCGCTTTTGGCACAAATATAGTCTTTACCATATTCTTGACTGTAGCCACTACATTTGATTTTCTTCTTTAAGAAATTGTCTTTAAAATTTTTACTTTACATTTGTCCCCAAAATGCTGTTCCATATTTTGAAAGTTGTAACAGCTGGGATGATCATCAGAACTTAACCCATGTGTTTGTTTTATGGGCCCTGTGCAGGTGATGGGCCTCAGTGTCGAGATTACGTTATCTCGCTCGGCGTGGTCAAACCTCTCTTGTCGTTTATTAATCCTTCCATCCCCATAACCTTCTTGAGAAATGTTACCTGGGTCATTGTCAACCTGTGCCGAAACAAAGACCCACCCCCACCTATGGAAACAGTACAAGAGGTGAGGAGTGTGTGTGTGTGATTGTATGTGCATGTACTGAGTAAAATGAATCTATGAATTGTTCAGTTGAATATTGTTTAGTAAAGAACAACTTCAGGCATTTTTGGTAACCTAAAATAACGCTTGGTCTATGGCTGTTTGAGTGATTTGTATGTATGTGTGTATGAAGGACTTTATAAACTAGCATTTAATCCAGTAAAGTATCTGTCACAATATCTTAAAGAGTGTGCAAGAGATTGTCAAGAATTTTTTCTTCAAAAAAATTATATCGCGATACATATTGATATTGAATTATTGTCCAGCCCTACTTTATACTCGCCCTCTCAATTATCTGGTGTCTCTCCTTTTAAACTTAGTATCTGTTCAGTCTGTGCCGATATTATGCTGTGTAATCGACATGCCAGTATTTTATCTAATTTTTTTTTTCTCCTCTTTTCTGTAATGTGGAGGTGTAGCTTTGAGCTGAAAGGAACATATTGTACCTCCTGCTGCTAAGAAATCATTAGACCGTGTTCTCACTCTGTTTCATAGATGGCAGGCCTAATGAATATTCTGTTGTCCTACAGCTGATTTCATGTTTACATGCTGTTTGCTTATTCTCAGTCTGGTGGTTTAAACTAAAATATTAATTTCTAAAATTCTCTTTTTTTCGCTCACAGATTCTTCCTGCCCTTTGTGTACTCATATATCATACAGATATAAATGTAAGTACAAGATATAAACATTTTTTTATAAGTGTTGCTCTTAATTACATAAATAGTGTCGTAAATTTGGATTTAGTTACTTAACTGACTGATTTACATTATTCTTTAGTTATTATTGCACAAAAAAGGGTATTCTATTGCCTTGAGGGGATTTCTTTTGCAGTAATGATCAGCTGACATTTTTCTTAATTATTATACGGCTTATCAAATAAGTACATTAACATTTTCTTTACTTTGAATTATATCCTCTAAAAAAATAAGAAAAATTGTAAATTTAACCCCTCAGTGTTACAACATCGTCAGGGGGCTGTGTAATGAATGGTAGAAACTGAGTCTGTGTTCACATTTTAAACACTAAAATCTCCTCCTTCCTCTAGATTCTGGTAGACACAGTGTGGGCTCTGTCCTATCTGACAGATGGAGGTAACGAGCAGATTCAGATGGTAATAGACTCAGGTGTCGTCCCCTTCCTTGTTCCACTGCTCAGCCACCAAGAGGTCAAAGTTCAGGTAAAAAATAATACCATTTCTATACATTAAAAACAACACGCAGCCATTTTCTAAAAAGTGTTTGTGTATCCTGTGCTCAGACTGCGGCGCTGAGAGCGGTGGGGAACATTGTAACAGGGACGGATGAGCAGACTCAGGTGGTGCTCAACTGTGATGTCCTCTCTCACTTTCCCAACCTGCTCACACACCCCAAAGAGAAGATCAACAAGGTGAGACACACACACACACTCAGACACACACATCCCATCTGATCCCATTTGTGTGAAATGTAATCAAGATGATGAAACCCAAATATTTACTTGTCTAATTTCATAAATGACTCCAGAAATCTCCCCAGTCGCAGTGTAAGCACTGTGGCTCATGTTTAGAGTGCATCTGTGATGTATCTGTTCTTCCCTGCAGGAGGCAGTGTGGTTCCTGTCCAATATAACAGCAGGTAACCAGCAGCAGGTGCAGGCTGTAATAGATGCTGGTCTCATACCCATGATCATTCACCAGCTTGCCAAGGTAAGATGTTATCTGTGTAGCCTGCTGTACATCCACTTTTCTCTTTTGCGCTTTTTAGCATTCATTATAGCTTTTAATTACAGATTTGCAGTACTTGTCACAGTATATATAATATGGGGTCCAAAGTCTTGAGACCAATAGTGAACATGCTCCTATGTTGCGTTTTTCTTTTTTATATATATCTTATTAATATTATTTTAATTTTGCTTTAAATTTTCAAGTGTAAATTCTTTTAAGTCCAAGCAATGTCTTGTGATCAGAATATCATAGGTATTTAATGTTAGGTCTTATTTGACTTGGGCCAATAAGTAACCACCCACAACACCCTAGAATCGAAATAAAACACTCTTAAAAAAAATCTAGAAATATTATGATTATTTGACTATTTCACTATTAATAATCTGTTCAGAAGAAGAAAATTCTGGAGCTTGAATCTAGACTCTTTGAAGAGTCCGTATAAGATGCTCCAATAAACAGTGCTTGATCTTTAATGTGTTTTTCTAAACAGGGTGATTTTGGAACACAGAAGGAGGCTGCATGGGCCATTAGCAACTTGACAATAAGTGGAAGAAAGGATCAGGTATGAACCATTCCAGATGAATTTCGGATTCCGAGCTACTTTTCTTTTCCAGCTTGTTCATTGGTTACCTTGATGTAATTGGCAGGTGGAGTACTTAGTGCAGCAAAATGTGATCCCGCCCTTCTGCAACCTGCTGTCAGTGAAAGACTCTCAGGTGGTCCAGGTGGTTCTCGATGGACTGAAAAACATCCTCATCATGGCTGGGGAGGAAGCCAGCACAATTGCTGAGATCATTGAAGAGTGTGGAGGTAATGCATTACGTATAGAAATGGGTGGTCCTTCATATTTAGACCGTCTCTCTTGGTTGTGTTGTGATAAATTATCTGTAGATTAGGCCGAATTTATCACACATGCACATTCACTGATGTTTTACTTGTTTTATAGAAAAATTTAAAAGATTAGCAGTAATAATCTTGCTTCTGTATTTCAGGATTGGAAAAAATCGAGAACCTACAGCAGCATGAAAATGAGGACATCTATAAACTTGCATTTGAAATCATCGATCAGTACTTTTCAGGAGACGATGTGAGTCACAATCTCTTGGTTCTTGGCATGTTTCTCTGTATAGTGCTTGATGCACTAATGTGTTGTTGCTTGTGGGCGTTATTGGGGCTTTCGCACCCGAGGAAACTTTTCATAGTTCCTAGAAGTACTGGCGGAAGTAACCGCAGGAACTAGGAACGGTTTTAGTTCTAGAAACTCTGTTTGGGGGAAATAAATTAGCTTGTACTTCAGAGTAGTGTCTTAAAGTCCCCCTGTAGTGAAAATCAAGTTTTTATGTTGTTTATTTGTGTATGTGGTGTTTTTAGTATGCTTTTAGACAAACCATGTGCCAATCTATTTATCAACACCATTGCTGAGTATTTTCTCCTTAAAACTGTAGTTTCCCAAAGGCAGTCCCAGAAATGCGGTTTGAAACAGCCGTCAGTTTGTTCCGTCACAATCCAATAACCAATCACGTCAAGGGATCGATTCCTATCACTAGCATGCAAAATATACCAATACCAGCACAAAACCAAAAATTTATTAGTGCAAAAAACCCATGAAGCTGTGGTTTAATGTGAATTTAGAACCGCTAACTTGCATTATAACCCGTGCCAACAGTGTAAAAGTATAAAGTTACTTACTTGACAATGTTGTGTCCTAAAATGCCTTGAAGACTCGAATACAGCCGTTTGTGATTCTTAATTCGCACCCGCGAGAATACGCGTGTGAAGTGCAGACCGATGCGGGAGAGGTGTGTTATAGTATTCACTGTAGTTGTCCGCTAGTAAAAACATAGTTTTATCAGTCATTATCCGTGTATGCCGTTGTTTTGCGTTTACTTCAGTTCAGTGGATCAGGAGGCGCTGGCTGGTGCGACTGAGTAGAGGTGGGACTAATTTGCATATTCATAGTTCCGCGTATAGTAAATGAGGCACGGTGTAGAGTTACATTTAAGCTATTTTAAGGCATGAGAAAATTATTTTCACAAGAAAAAACATTTAAATATGTCATAGGGATAAAATATTTGACTACCGGGGGACTTTAAACAGTACTACTATAGGAACTACTACCCTCAATGATTTGTCACACTGCAAGTTGTCATAGGAGATTTAGTCAGATTTTTGTGCTCTTTCAAGTGTAAATCGTGTGCTTACATTCCATCTCTGTTATCACGAAACCCACGACACGCAACAAAAACGATTCCGATCATGGCGTTCTCCATTTACCGGTTGTTGACGTTTGTAAATGAGAGTTGTAAATCCAGAGTTCCTGCTGCCAGTGCGAATGCAACCAGGAAAATGGCCCAAGGGGGAAATTGGTTCTCTAGGAACGACCATGCTGGCTAGTTCCTATAACTACGTGGTGTGAAAGCCCCATTTGTTGGTGGTTCTGTCTAGATTTGAATTATGAGTAGATATCATGTTAGTAATGTCTGGTTCTGTTTCTAGATTGATGAGGACCCCAGCCTGATTCCTGGTGCCACCCAGGGAGGCACATTTAACTTTGATCCATCCTCCAACCTACAAACCAAGGAGTTCAAGTTCTAGACAACCGGAGCTTCGAACTTAGGAATGGTGGGTTTCCCAGCTGCTCCTCAACCCCTGCCACCTACTGACCCATCATCTATCCAACCACTCACTAACCAGAAAAACCAACCAATCACCATGCTCAGAAACGACACTCACTCACACAGAAGAAACTAGCACTGAAGGATCTGAGTCTCAACGCCACTCAAAATATGGATGGATCTCGACAACCTCAAGACATGGAAGAAAAAAAAGAACAAGACTCATTATACTGCAGTTGCCAAAAAACAAAACAACAAAAAAAGGATATATATTTTGCTCTTTCACTCACTCACTCACACACATAGGTGAGCATGAACAATAATAGGAACTTCTGTTGTTGTACCAGCCATCATATCAGCCAAGGAAGATGAAAGAAAGAGTTATTCCTGAAATATAAAGGCAGGGATTTTCTTTTGTTTCCAAGAAATCCCTTCCCTCGAAATGTTGCATTTCTGGTAATGATCTTAGTCTCAGCCAGACACCCAACTCAATACGTCCAGCCTCGACTGTGTTAAGCCATTTGGACCCCCTCACTCATTCATCCGAAATCTGTGAACTAGCCTATAATGGGTTATTCCATGGAATATTATTCAAATGTGGGAAGGGAGTGTGGGAAATATGTGGTGTGCAAACAGAACTTAAATTATCGCCACCAATTTTTGCTTTTTCTTCATCCTGAAATTATGGATATTTACAAAACACTGAAGATAATGAAGAAGAAAAAAAATCACGTCAGATCATCACAAACTTGAATGGAGAAAATTTCATTTAAGGCATTCAAGCGCCCTCATTTTCGAAGTTCTGCAGCGATAGTGTAGTGGACATTCATTGTGCCGATTTCTTTTTTTTGGTTTGCAGTAGGACTGTCGGACATGTCAAAGGAGGATCCTATGTGATTTGTCAATTTAGCCAGGACTTTTAAAGGGCCGCCCCAGCCTTTGGAAGTTCTTTGAGATAACCTTAACAGGTCTTTCTGCTTAACAAGGGTGCTCTGGCAGCGCTTTTTATTTTCTGGATTCATCTGCTCTACTTCCTGTCTGTAAGCATAGTAATAAGTTCATCGGGATAAGCCCAGTTGCAACCGTTGGGAGGATATTTTCACTAAATCAGTGCATTTCGTCACTTGGTAGTCAAAACCACAAGAAACTTTGCAACAGTGATTGGATTGTGAATTCTTTTTTTGTTTTGATCAGCGGAGCTTTTGCAGTTTTTCCAGTCTTATGCGCACACTTTTGGTTTTCTCGTTTTATTGCTTAATGTAAGTGGAGAGCGATGTTCGCTTAATTTTGACTATACAAGCAATGGGGAAAGGAGATCCATGACATTGTGGTTCGTTTTTTTGTTTAGTTGGTTTTTAATCTTATTTCACTTGCTACAAAACCTAATTGTACCAACTAAAATAAAAGTATATTTCTTGTTTAGGTAAATAATGCAAAGCTACCACACTTAGGTCCACTAGACGTTGTTGGGACGCTACAGAACAATAATAACGTTGTGATTATTGATTTACAGCCAATAGGGGTAATTTTTTGTTTGTTCATTTTTGGTTTAACTTTCATTTTGTAATGGCAAATCATTGCCATTATTTGGAAAATGGGCTTTCTTACTGTTGTGACTGGATGTTTGTTTGTTTTTTTTCCCCTGTGCATTAACTTGTAAAGGGATGTATGGGGAAAAAAATGCATTTGAACTAAAGTAGTTATGTTTGGGCCGCAAACTGCTGAAAAAGACAGTAAGGAAGCTAAAGGCAGCCTTGATCATTTTTGAATTAGCCATTATTGTTGAACAAAAAGTAAAAACAGGTTTGAAATTCATGAACTTATCTAGACATCTAGAAAACGAGCCACTTTAAAGAAGTTTTGTCTTGTATCAGAAATGGATACAAGCTTATTACTTGTTGCAAGATTTTTACTTGCTAAAGAAAAAAATAATCTAAAAAGTGACAGATCACATTTTGGCCTCTGATTGTTTGTATGTTTTTATAAATTTTAGAACTGAATTTCTCTTTAAGGTGGCTCATCAGTATTTTTTTTTTCAACTCTTGTGCATATTAAAGATAAAGAATGAGTTGAAATTCATTGTGCCTTTTGTTTTTCATTTCAAAGCAACTAAAAAAAGGTTCATAATGTCTACCACGTTGCATTGGAGCTGCTTATAAAATGGGGTCTTTTGGGTGTTATGTCTGCCTATCTCTGGACTTTACCATGACACATTCTCTGGAGTAGAGTATAATTCTTATTAAATTCTCCTTTAGTCTGCTGGCTGACTTGTACTTGATCTCCTTAACTTCCATTTTGCTCCCTTCTCATTCTTTTCATATGGATCACAACTACCCACAATTCTCAACCTATCCACTTCCCCTCCCCACCTCCACCTTTCTATGGCAACACATCTTTCACTCATCACTCCCTCAGGACGTGCTTTATGTATCAATGAACCTAACCAAAATAAACTTGCTGTTAGCCATCCTTTTTATTGCTCTCTTATGATTGACCTTCTGATGCTTTGGTGTCTCTTCTCTTTTACCTGTTACCTTTACTTCTTGTCCCTGTTGTGTTGCATTTCATTTACCTTTTTCTATTCAGAAGTCTCTTTTTCGCTCTTTCTAATAAGTGCCGTGCTCAAAGTTGTTTCTCAAGTGAGCTTACAGAGGTTGGCGCTGAATCAGAACCACACCAGTCACCCAACGTGCTACATAAGGACTACAATTACTACGAGAGTTTACGTGCATGAGTGATGAGCTTTCTCCAAACTTTTTAGAAAGCTTTTTAAAAAGCCATTTAGATTGAAGAACAAAATGTCATATTTAATCTTAAAATTGAACATTTTAACCATATGAAATTCCTATAGGATTCCATGTCTGGAATTAGAATTCTGCTTTGACCTACAAATCGAGGTCATGACTGAAAAGTTATATTGCAATGTTTCTGTTGATATATTTTCATGCTGTGCCTTGAATATTTGTACGTTTGACAGTTAGTTCTGTGATGCCTACATATATTATGGTGTAGAATATAATTACCCTATTAAACGATGGCAGAAAATCTTAAGAGATCTTTAAAGGGATAGTTCACCCAAAAATAAAAATTCTGTCATTAATTGCTCACCATCATGTTGTTCCAAACCCGTAAGACTTCGGAACACAAATTAAGATATTTTTTGAGAGCTTGAGTACCACGCTGGCGCTTTCCCCAGAACGTAGTCAATGCAATCAGTGTCCTTTACATTCAGGAGAAAGCACGCGTATCACGTGGACTGTTGAACCTGTACTTGCTACGTTTCTGGGCCTGGGAACATTTCAGTTGCGTTACTGTCTGTGCAGGGTCAGAGAGTTCTCAGATTTCATCAAAAATATCTTAATTTGTGTTCTGAAGATGAACGAAGGTCTTATGTATTTGGAATGACATGAGGGTGAGTAATTAATGACAGAATTTTCATGTTTGGGTGAACTAACCCTGATGTCAGGGTTAAGAAAACAAAAATAACAATTCTTCTCCCAGAGTTACGTCTTCCGCCATTTTAGAGAATATCACAATGCATACGCAGGCTTTGTAAACAACGCAGATTACCTTCACGCGCGCGCTTTATCCCTCGAACGTAAACAACGCTGATTACGTCGATTACACTCTTGGGTACTCTCCAAAATGGCGGAAGACGTAACTCGGGGGAGAAGAATTGCTAAATAAATAATTTTTGTTTTCTTTGCGCTCAAAAAGTATTCTCGTAGCTTCACAAAACTGAAGTTGAGCCACTGATGTCACATGGACTGTTTTACCTATGTACTTGCTACGTTTCTGGACCTGGGGACATTACAGTTGCGTTGCTGTCTATGGGAGGGTCAGAGAGCTCTCACATTTCATCAGAAATATCTTAATTTGTGTTCCGAAGATGAACGAAGGTCTTACAGGGTTTGGAATGACATGAGGGTGAGTAATTAATGACACAATTTTCATTTTGGGGTGAACTAACCCTTTAAGTAGAAATTCACATTTTAATAACAGGAACATGTTTTTAAGTCTTAAGTTGTGGTAAGGTACATACAAAGTCTTTATCAAACAAATGACAAAACCAAAATATTTATTACTAAAGACACAAGACCTGTCAGATTAGAACATACAAAAATAACATCATACAGGCTATGCAATACTCAATTTATTAAAAACAGTTTTGTGATCATTTGCAATAATTCGTAATTAGAGAACAGATGTTTTTCAGGTCAAATTATTAAATATTTAAGGTAAATAACCTTTACACTTATTCTATTGTATCTCTCATGTTTAATATATTAGTTACACTAAACTACAATAAGACAATGTACAGCAACATAATATGGAAAATACAACCAAATATAAACTCCATGAAATTTAAATATATGTATTTTTGTAGAGCTTGTATAAATCCAAGTCATGATGTATATGGTGTGTGCAGCTGCAGGTCATACATCAGACAGACGACAACGAAATCAAAAAGAGCTTCGACAGTATTTTGAATCAGTATCAACTTTTCAGGTCAGCATCACTTTGTTTTCTTGAAATGCATAAAGTATAAAGTCATGATTGTCAGCTGTAATATGTGTCCATTATTACCCGTTTTCAAATCAGCCTTTAAACAAAAATCCATACGCTCACAACAGCACACTTAATACTGTACATCAGTAAATGTACAGTGTTTGATGAAGTGTAAATTAAGGATGTATGTTCTAAATAAACCTTTTGAGATCAGTGCACAGCTCATTGATGCACAGATGATACAACAGAGTTCATCTGAAAGACATAGGATGACTTTTTAAACTGAGTAGAAATGGTCAGATATGTGTCAGTTTTACACGAGTCAAAATCACTGATGACATTATTTCAACTTTCAGTAGGCTGAGCCACACAATCGTCAAGAGTTCAGTCATAACATAGCACTTCGATTCCTGGCTGTGGAGTACATTTCTTTAGTGTATATACAGCACACCATGAACTTTAGAAGATCTGTTGCTCAAACAGAATCTTCTGGTAGCCTTGCGGTGGAGGATGATAGAAGTCACTGAACTGGCAATCCAATATTGCACTATCGTCAACTGTGAGGGACAAGACGAAGGCATACAAGCTCAGATGTGTCATTTAACAATAAATTCTATTTAGCAATGCAAGAATTCGGAAAAAAGTATCGAAATACTTATTTTTAGGTCATTCTTAGGCAACTCAATTTGTGAAATCATTTAAGAAAATAATGTTGTCTGTTTGAAGACTTTATATAAGTAACAGAGCAATTCTTGTCTCAACTGCACTGGCAACCAAAGAGGTTAGTGGTTAGTAATAGTTATTAAAGCAGCACTATGTAACTTTTTCTGTGTTCAAAATTTGCAAAATGTATATAATGAGCGAGTACATCATGAATTAATCTTCCAAACTGCGCGATTCCTGGCTGTGGAGTACATTTCTTTAGTGTATATACAGCACACCATGAACTTTAGAAGATCTGTTGCTCAAACAGAATCTTCTGGTAGCCTTGCGGTGGAGGATGATAGAAGTCACTGAACTGGCAATCCAATATACTAGACTAATTTGTCTAACTTGCACGTAAATGCTTGCACACATCACGTCTTACCTGTGGATTGAATCTTGAACTCAAAGTAGCTCTTGTTTTGATGGAGAGGGGCGTTTGCAATGCAACCACCAGTTCCACATATGCGTCTTCCACTCTTTACAATGACAACATCAGTACCTGAAATATCATAGGGAAATAATCCATTTGCCACATACTTAATTAACTGCATAACAGAGACCAAAATATTTTACTACCGTTTTTTCTGCTTCATGACGTTCTGAAATTATGCTCTTCTTTTTTCATTAATCCTACATGCTATACATTTTGTGTCATTTTACTATCGTTTAATAAGCCACCTTCCCTCATACCATTAAATTATATACAAGTCATTACAGATGACAAACTCAAATAACTGTAAATACACTTGTTATGCCAAGTCTGACAGCAGTGAAATGATCATAACACTTACTGTATGGCGACAAAGGCACTTATTTTGAAAGAAGGACAGCTTTGTTTATCATATCGTCAGACTCAAACTCTTTTCCGTGAATGTAATGTGTCTGAAATGTCAGATCGCAACACTTACCCATGTGATGAGTGTCCAGCTGAACCGTGGGCATTTCCTTCAGTGTTACGTGGCCCCTGTTATTGTCTCCACAACAGCCAAAACAACATGAAACCAAAGCTGCCATAACGGTATTTCTTTCACAATAATAACCTTAATATTAAAATGTGGTTACGTTCTACTTAGTTGTTATACGATGCTATTTGTGCTACAAATCAAAAGGTCATTTTTATTCTCTCTACATGCTAAGCTAACAGGATATGACGTGAAGGTTTCCCCCCCACATTATTTCCAGGATAGCTCAATGGCGACCTCTAGTGACCAAAAGACGGACTGCTATTAAGGGGATAACGGCCAAAAATGAAAATACTGTCTTTTACTCGCCCTCATATTGTGACAACCCTATGTGACAAAATGATTACTTTCTTTCTTCCGTGGAACACAATGCAGAATGTTAGGGGCTGACAAGCATCACACACCATTCAATTTCATTGCACCTTTTTCACACTAAAGTGAATGGTAACCAGACTGACTTACTGTGGTGTAAGGTAGCTGTATGGCGACAAAGGCACTTATTTTGAAAGAAGGACAGCTTTGTTTATCATATCGTCAGACTCAAACTCTTTTCCGTGAATGTAATGTGTCTGAAATGTCAGATCGCAACACTTACCCATGTGATGAGTGTCCAGCTGAACCGTGGGCATTTCCTTCAGTGTTACGTGGCCCCTGTTATTGTCTCCACAACAGCCAAAACAACATGAAACCAAAGCTGCCATAACGGTATTTCTTTCACAATAATAACCTTAATATTAAAATGTGGTTACGTTCTATTTAGTTGTTATACGATGCTATTTGTGCTACAAATCAAAAGGTCATTTTTATTCTCTCTACATGCTAAGCTAACAGGATATGACGTGAATGTTTCCCCCCCACATTATTTCCAGGATAGCTCAATGGCGACCTCTAGTGACCAAAAGACGGACTGCTATTAAGGGGATAACGGCCAAAAATGAAAATACTGTCTTTTACTCGCCCTCATATTGTGACAACCCTATGTGACAAAATGATGACTTTCTTTCTTCCGTGGAACACAATGCAGAATGTTAGGGGCTGACAAGCATCACACACCATTCAATTTCATTGCATCTTTTTCACACTAAAGTGAATGGTAACCAGACTGACTTACTGTGGTGTAACGTATCAGAAAGTCTTTTATCCCTTAATGGTAAACTTAAAGGGAAAGTTCATCCAAAAATGTTAATTCTGTCATCAGTTACTCACCCTCAAGAATTTATTTCAGCTGTTGAACACAAAATAATATATTTAGAATAATGTGTGTAACCAAACGGTTGACGGTAGCCATTGACTTCCATAGTATGGGGGGGAAATACTCTGGAAGTCAATGGCTACCGTCAACTTTTTGGTTACCAACATTCTTCAAACTATCTTCTTATGTGTTCAGCAGAGGAAATAAACTCATGCAGGTTTGGAACTTATGATAGGATTTTAATTTCAGGGTGAACTACCCCTTTAAATTCATAAGACTGACAACCGTATTACCACACCATAATGTCACTTACTCGGCAGGTCATTTTGGCCTTGTTGTCTTTGGGAGACAACAGCAATTTGTCAACTGTCAGACCGTACAGGTAACAAGAAGAAAGTTTGATGTGATAGACTACTGGATCTAACTTTATGGCATTATGTGTACAAATGTGGACGTGTGTGCGCGATCGTGCAGAATGAGCGAGAGGGATCAGGATCGATGTGACCTTAAAAGCGCTTAACCTGCTCGGTGCCACTCAGTTACAGCTGCGAAGTTTTGCATAGCAACAACCTCCCCGCTCAAAGTAAGGGGGGATCTATATCTGACCAACTACTTTCAAAAACGAAGATACAGCTTTACTTCTCTTCATATATTTTCTTGCCCTCATATCAAAGGCAAATTAAAATAAACATTCTTCAAGACGCCTGTATGTTACTTGTAATACGTAACTTCGCTATTAACTTTTGCTTGTCGTTTTTGAAGTTCGCTAGTGTTGAAATCTGCACAGCAACAAGCGCCATGATTACGTTTTCGGAGTGCCCTAGTAACTGGCGCGCGCGGTTTCTATCCAATAAAAGGGCGCGCGATGTGTTCGCAGTTATGCGGTGGAAATGTTTTACCCAGCATCCCTACTTTTCATAGGATTACTGCGTTGTTGTTAAAAAAAAACCAACAACAACGTGTATTTTGACTGACATCACCTTCTTGTCCTTTAGGGCGACTATTAAGCAGATGTCGAGGTAAATGGACCAAAAGAAGGTAAAGTAGGCAGTGTTTCATCATGGTCTTCATGTCAACCTTTTTAGAAATGTTTTCTGATTTAGCTTAAGCTAGTTTAAGAATTCATACATAGTCGCTATCTTGTAATGGCGAGAGAACGTTTTAACGTACTACTTTTTGAATAGGGTACAGACTTATACTAACTTTACCGTGTGATTTTGAGGTGCAGGTGATGACAAATGAAGTGATGTTATAGCGAGGTCTGTTTGCTTCGCAGTATGGCATAAACATGAGCGCACTTATCTGCTTGCCTTGAGCCGTTTGAATGATAACAAAACCGTTATTTTCAGAACTGCCCAATCAGATTTCACCGTGAACCTGCGCGTTGCTCAGCTGTGACGCGCCAAATGATGTTTCTGTGGACATTACCGGGTACGATCTCGCCTTACCTGCCAAGAATAGCTTATTCAAAAGGAAAGAAAAAAAAGTTATGCGGCCCTTTTGGGTGCACTATGAATTTCCGCTTCAGTGTTCAGTGCGATTTCATAAGTACAGTATTTAAGCTGCCGTAAGAGCAAGAGAAAGTGCCGTGGTTTCTGCCCCATTTTCTCTCGGTTCGCTGCATGTCGTTCGACAATATCATTGATTTCACACGCACCTGCTTTTTATTACGTAATACCATGTACAATAGAGGTGGATATGGCATCAAAGCACTCATAATGTGTCAAGTTAGGGCACCTCATTTCGACTTTACATTCAGATTCTGTGGAAGACAACAAATCCAGTGGCACCAAACCTATTTACACCAAAGTTTCTCGATATTCAAAAACAGTTTCTGTTACATAATCGCAAGTGACCAATCAAAATGACACAAAATAAAATGATTTTATAGATTTACGTTTGGTGTATGTTTTACCTAGAACAGCAAGGTTTAAAGTGCATAGCTCCACACCAATAACTTCTTTCCTTGTACACCTCCGTTGATTTTTACGAACGAAATCAGTTGTATGGCATCCTACCACTGAGAATCTAAAGTGTGGGTTTTTTTTATATTATGCATCTTTAATACAACCAATAACCATTAAGGACAGTGTTGTTTTTTTGAGCATTTTTAGGAATTATTACGTGTAGTCCGAGTTTTAACTTTCTACGGACAGGTATTCACTGTGAAAGTGTCAAGCGGATATTGAGTGAATGCTCAAATTAATATTAGTTGATGGTCAGTTGCACAAAGACGTGTATTTTTCCAGGATATTCTGAGGCTTCGTTCAAACCACATTTACTGTCATATTCCTTCTTTGGGAGCAGGAGCAACTGCCATCATTCATGTGAGGTCCCGTCATCCATGATAATCAGTGTTTCTTTTAATAAATTATTTTAAAGGCAAGAAAATCTGTTTGTATTGAACGACCCAAAATACGACTCGTCGCCTTTATGTCCGTCCTTGAATTCTGTCATTTACATTAAGGTTCAGGTACATTCAAACAAGCGCATCTTGGTGTGGCTAGATATTAGTTCAGTCACTTCTAAACCAAGTCCATTAAATTTGAGCAAAAATTTAGGTTAGTCCCTGTGAATTTTGGTCATTCGTACCCCTTGATTGAGGCAACAGGGTCAACTTAGTGTTTCGGGTTGAAGTACCCAAGATTCGCATGTTCATCTTTCAATTGCTTATTTGACAGAATTGTGTACAATTGATCCAGACGAACGCAAGCTTTTCTTAATCTTGTCCTGATGGTGGACACGATTTTGAAGGATGTTTTCCTCAGTGTCGCCGGAGGAAACCGAGCGTTTCAGCTGAGAGGGCGTGTAAATAGACTTGATATTAACGAGCTTTGCAGAGGGAAAGAAACGCGAGAATCAAAACAAGCAGCGCAAAGTACCAAAAGGGGCCGATCTAGAAGTGATTCTGGCAGCACCCCTCCCCTAAATCTGAACTTAAAAGAAACGGGGGGCGAGCTGAAAACGTCAAACCATTTCAAGTTTCCCAGAAGATGGCGATGCTGCGTAATTCATGTGATGTGATGATGCTTAACACTGTAATACGACACATTTTATAACTCTTTTCTGTTTTTTTAACGATGTGCTTCGTCCATAACAGGTAACAGGAACTGCACATTATAGTCTAAATATTCTTATTAGAACTTGGTGAGAAATGTGGCAGATTTATGTATTTGACAAACTGCAGAATTCGCGCGAAACCCGACTCTACACAATTAATTTTCCTTGATGCAATCGTTGTGATTTTAATGTTATTTTCCTTTATTGTATTTTTCCATGTACATAAATTGTATCAACGAGCTCCAAGCACTTTTAGAGAAGCATCTGACTCGTTTAAACTGAAATTACATAATTATACAGCTTATTTGATGTTTTATTAAATTCCATGTCATCCGTTCTCAGAATAAAAGCGTTCAGAACACCGGCATGTGCACAGTATGTTATCAGTCAGTCGTTCATCTTCTTGTGCTTTCCTGATGAGTGATCCCGAAGCACACAGGCCGCCGCAGACGGTAAACGGCCCGCCTAACTCCAGCAGCACGGTCAATACTGGAGGATTCGCTAGTGCTTTGACTCCAATATTTACGTGCTGCTACAGCCAGGCAGCCAGTCAGTCACACGGCCAAGTTCAGGAGACTCGCCGGCACACGTAGTCTTGCTGCTGCTGCTGTCTGTTCACTCGTTTGAATGTGACCTGCGCGTATGTCCTGTCGTTCTTGCCGCAGCACAGTACGGCCTGCACCCCCGTTATAACTCACAAACCATTCTGTGCTGCTACAGTACCGACAGGCCCCGCGCCGAGCGCACGAGCACCCACACCGCCGCACAGACATGCTCCGCATCTCGCAACCTGAAAACACAGGATCAATAAAAAGACGATGAGTAATTAGTGTCAGTATGACTACCTGCTTTAATGAAATGATGTCAAATTGACTTCGAGGACAAAAAATAAAAAGGCTTGCTCAGGACATTAGAATCTAAAATCAAGAATAAAGATAAAACCAAGCGGCAGTTCTGATTAAAACGTGAGACTTCCTGAGGCTTTGTGAACTTATTTCTCACCGTTTGGTTTTGCTATGCAAATGCAGCAGGACATGGATCACTAACATAATCATGTATGAAAACAAGTGGAAGTGTTTCTATTCTAGAAAAGTGTATCTATTTTAGGAGTCAAGTAAAGATAATTCTTTTGTTTTAAATGGGAACCAGAAAAAAAAAAAAACTGGCAGCTGCCAATATCTAGTTTCAAGGTCAAATGCATTGTTTTCCATTTTTAAAAGTCTGTTACATCATGAAAAGCAAAGTTGACAAATGCAAAAAATTAAGTGAGCATCTCTGTTTTTAAAGATATAAAATGTTTCTTTTTAGAAATATTATATAAATGTTACATTGCTGCTCCTTACACTATTTAACTATAACTTTTTTTTAAAAACTGTCTTCTATTTTTAACAGCACATTTCTATTCTACAGTGGATTTTTCTGGAGAAGTACACAGTGCTCAAAATTTATTTGCATACTCTTAACTCTCTGGTCAGTTGTGGTAATTTGGTACCTGTTCTGAGAAAAACATGATATTCACACCGTTCTTACACAACCTGCCTGCCTCTCACTGATGAAATCCCCATTACCAGGTAAGTGTGCACTGTGATTAAAAAAATCACTGTATCCAAACCTTCATTTAGAGAGATTTGACAAAAGCAGATAACTTCAGAAAACCATACGAACTGATAGTGTATAGTGTATTTATGCAAGTTGTCTAATTGAATTGTATTTTTCTAAAACTATTTTCATATTCAATATAAGATTTGCAAGTAGATTCATATAGGTAATTCAAATCAGTCAAGACGTGAATTTGTAAAGAACCATATGAGTAAGCTGAAGCTTGCATACGGTTAAGCCCAAAACTATCTTTGAAATGACTCTTATGCGGGAGTGAATTTACATGAAGTGTGCAAAGTGCAAAATAACAAGCTAATAATAACAATTTCACGCATGACTAACTTTCAATATTTATCATGTTCTATTTCTGATGTTAGTTGTTTTTGTAAACCCCCAGGTATCTGTTCCATTCAGTAAACGCACATGTGCTATTGTACCAGGTGATCCAATACTAACAATAAACTTTTGGTGTAACAAGCAAGAGGACAGTGAAGCATCTGCTGTCTATAAGGGTAAAATTACAGGTTATGAAAAGAGCCCCATGGACTTCTGGGAGAGAAAAAAATAGCGCTCGCTGACAAAAGCCTGTAACCTCCCACATTATAATATTTACTTGTGTTGTTTGCTTTGTCTGTATGCCTTTCACTTTCTTGTTTTCTCTTTGTTAGGCACTTCATGAGGATATAGGACTTTTTTCTTCTATATACTCCCGCTATTTTATGCATTTCAGAAAATAATTCAACTAAACCATGCTTCTTATAACCAGTATAGTTAAAATGGTTCAACCAGTGGTGTACTTACAGTTACTTGACTGTGTCACAGCTCAGTGTCATGCCGTGTGCTCTACATTCCTTTCCTGGAGAAAACAAAAATAAAGGGATATTTATGAAGCACAAATTCTGGCTGTTATGTTTCTTAACATATAATTACAGGTACAAAAACAAACGTATACCATCCACATAGCATGCAGTGTTTTTTTATTGGACAGGTGTAATTTATCTTGTGCTTGTACATTGTGAAATATTTAAATGAATACTGCATAATCTTGTTTGAAGATTAATCCTGATGTGTCATGGTTTGTGTGTGTGGAAAAGGAAGCCCATCCCCAACAAATAGTACCACAACTGTACCAAACCTATGAAGAGGAGTTTTCTAAAAATTACAAAATGTGTGATATTAAAAAATATAAAGTTTAATTACTTTTAAATTTAAAAAAGTATTATTTTAAGTAGTTAAAAACAACACCACACTTGTCCATACAGAAGACAAAAAAATAAAATAAAACCAAAGGACAAACAAAACACAAAGTAAGTTTTAATAATGCCCACAATATAAATGTAATTCTAAGTAGTAGTACTAATACTTAACTTTAAGGGCACACTTTGAATAAACTAACTTTTATGGGATAGCAATGTTACAAAAAAAAAAAAGATGAGTCATCATTTCAGCCTAATTACCCAGCAACATCAAACTAAAAATTTATTTACACCAACAAATAAGTTTAAAATCATTATTCATTTTTGAAATTGTAACTTACTATTGAGTACTATGCTAATAGCAAATTCATAAAGGCAAAAACCCAGTGATGATTTTCATTAAAAGTATTGTCTTAGTATTTACTGACTCACATTGAATGAATATTATGATAATAAAACCTAGATGGGACGATGAATTCAACAACATAAAAGCCCATCAGAATAATTAAATTATTTATATATTCAAGTTATATACATTGAATGTTATACTGCAGTGTACATGTGTAATTAAATAAAACATAAACAAAATAGTTTATTTGCTAACCAAATTGACACACTCTGGTGATGTGAGGGGGTTAGTCTGATTAGTGTATTTTTACGAGACTGCAGCTAGATGTGTTGTCCCCTGTAACTTCGTATGCCAGAAGTTAGCAGAGAAACATTCACTTCCTACCACAGAAAGGGGAAGCTGCTCCCATAATTTCACTTGCTTTTATAAGAGTAACAAGCAAAGGGGGCACGAGAGCACACAAGTGTGTGTAAAAGCACATTTTTATACACACAAGATCTGCCTAATGGGACAAAATAAAACAATGCTGGAACTGAAGGAAACAAATCTGACATTTTTAATCCCACTCTACACACTATCAACAACTATTTTTGATCTTTGTGCAAAATTGGTGTACTCTTGAAAACATCTAGACTTGATATACTAGAAAATCTAATATTCAATGCAAAATAATTCATAATTACATACAAACACTGTAAATAAATAAAAAACATTTGTTAATACATTTTAAAACAAAGAACTGGAAACTTGGAGCTACACTGTAGATGTCAAAATGGGGATGCTATATTTATGAACTAAATATTTTTATTCCACAATTTATAAGACGTGACTATTTTATTATTTGGTCAGTCTTAAATGGCACTGCATTTCTTATTTTTAATTAGCACCACTGTATTTTTTTTATTAGGTTCATTTGTATTTCTTTAAAAAGTGTGCTTACAAGCTAGATTAATATATTGCCTTTGTACATGAAACATCACAGTACAAACGCAATATACAAGTTATTTCATATTGTATGAACTAACATCACAAAAACACATCAAGCACTTTAACTGAGAGGAAGGGGGGCTGCACGGGCCTAATACCTTGACAACAGCGCCAGTCCCCATAACAAGTGCATTTGCCTTGGTAACGTCAGATAGGGGCAGCCCCTGGCAGCACATGTAGTACTAAGAAGAGCTTACAATGAAGAGCTCTGCTGTTTGGCATCAGAGAGCTCGACTGGCGCTGTGTTCCTCCTTGCAGATAGCTTTGTAATTGACACTCGGATCAAGATTTTCATTTCTGTGTTTCGCATCTAAATGATCATTTACAAAAGGACACACACAGATACACACCCACCAAGAATCGAGAGTCCTCTGATCTTGCTGGGCAAACAAAAATACACACACACAACTGAGGCCTGAGTTAGGCCTGAAAATCATGTTTCATACCGATCGGTTTACTAGCAAGTGAAGTTATGAAATCAAAAGCCCCCGCCCCAAATGTTACTGACATTCAGGTTTCATGATAATAACACAGCCAAGTGACTCTACTTATTTTCCCTTCAAGCTACTACTTGAAACTACATCAACCAACTTCTTTGAATCCTAGAGGCCCTTCTTTAACTTTGTGGCAAGAGCCACGCTGAAATGAGCTAACACAAAGAGGGGGGGGGGGGAACACAACAGAAACCTCACACTCATTTTTGGGACCAGTTCTGCTATCGCATTTACTTCAAAGAGTCACTATACAATGTTTACAATTATGTTTAAAGCAGAGACACTGATATAAAAATTAGCTACAACAGTACAGGCCTGTTATATTATCTACAGGAGCTGCTGCTACTAAAAACGATGAAAATGTGATTCCTTTGAAGTCAATATGGCACTTAAAAACCAAAGTATTACACAATGTGAAACTCCACAAAAACCAGATCAGAATCAGAATCAACATGAATAATATAACTGGTGATAGCACCTCAATTCATGGTTTTTTTTTCTTATACAGTATACTAAATTATATTTTAGGCGTAGAACATAGGGCTTAATTTTATAGCTAATGTTTAAAAAAACTAAGGGAAATATTTACCTCCATTTGAGTGGAAGCCAGTAGACAAAGCTGTTCCACATTTTTATATATATATATAATTTTTTTCAAAGCATCCAAATTAAGAGGAACAAATAATGATTAGAGAAAAATCATAAAGATAATTCACAGGCCCTGCACCTACAGTTTTTCATATAGTGTGTGTGGGATGGGGTCTGAGTCAAATGCAATATTACAACATCATCATTAACATAAGGCAAAAATGGCATTAACACTGGGCACATGACAGGGACCAAAAGAATCAGTGGTCTTTGATGTACATGACACACTCTACAATTATAAAATATACATATTTGAGGGTTTCTATTTGGATTTGGGCCAAGAGGTTACAATTGTGAAAAAGACACTTGCAATACACATCATAATGAGCTATGACAAGTCATTATGAACTATCATGATTGTAACTAATATGTCACGGTCACAGAGACATGAGAGAACAAGCTAACGCTCACTAAGATCAAAGGTTAGAGCAAAATTTGAAGAATTTCTTCTTTGTAGCAAATTTGTTGCAACTGGGTGAAAATAATGCAGCTGGACCTTGAAAGGGCTGGTGAGTGTTTTACAAAATATAACGCTGTTAATAAAATGTAACAACTAGCTCTTAATAAAATGACTTATAATAATATCAAATACAATCTTTGGCCTTGAGGAATCTTTCTACTAGTGAATGCAAAATTAAAATCAGGATTTCAAAGCTGCTAAAGAGATTGTGTGGAATGTTTTTTTCTTTTTCATTTGAGAAATCACCTCTAATTATTGAATACCTTATTATCTAATGTCTGTAAATGATCTAATTAAATATGAGACTGTCCCAAACTCTGTTCCGCTTGTAAAAATAAAACTACTAAACATTACTATTTCAAATTGAGTGGCTGTCTGAGAATGTGCATTAATTTAGGCCTTGTTGGCATGCTTTTGTCATTATCCGTCGTACTTTAACTCACATCAGCCAATGCTGTAACCTTTAGTCCTAACCTAAAGACAAACTCAATGTAAATTTGTCTAAGTGGGTCATTGTCATAATGTCCAGCCTCCGCTCGTTCACAACAGACCACTGAGAGATCACCTCATGACCACAATTACACACTGACATGAAATTATAAATACACTAACGCGCACACACACAGGCAAAAAATATATTTTTAATCCTCACACGACAAGCTACAAATGTGACAATGAAATATCTGTGCAAAATATGTAAGTTATAGTTAGGATTTTTTTAAAAATCATAATTACTCGTATTTATGTGTTTGTCTAAGACGTGAATGAAGAGACTGGGTGGATTCATACAGGCTCAGTATTCAGTTGTGAAAGAATAGTTGTTGTGGCTGGACAAGCAGTAACTGAGGCATGTCGCCATGACAATATCTGTTTTATACATTCCTGATATTCTTTTTCTAGCTGACTGCACGCCGCATTACAATGTTAAAATATTACTATCACTTTATATTAGAAGATTATGTTCAACTCTCATTTTTAAGTTCTTTTTTAATAATTAATGTTTTGAGTGAATGCGTGTGTACAGTGAGTTGAATACATAAGCAGCCAACTTTAATTAGTAACTATTACTGGTTTTACAATGAATCCACTGCAAAAACATACTATAATTATAACGTTTTGACATCGTAATAATAATTATGTGCAGATACTAACAGATATAAGGAATTCTAATGATTTCTGCCCACTATTTTTATTTAGGCCTTTTTTTTTTCAAAAAAATATGTTTGTGATAGGTGATCGAGCACTTACACTGCACAGTGGAATGACTGAGCCTACATTAAAACATTGATATATTAATACTGCTTTACATAAAAAAATTATAGCTAACTGCTTAAATGATCAAAGTTTATTTTTAAAACTTTTCAGAAATATTAATGCTTTTCAATAATGAATGTAAATTGCAATACATTGCAGTGAGTGAAGAAAAATCCACTTGAAAGTCATTCAAGGCAACAATATTGTCCTTCTGTCACAATGTAGAGCGATAACCAAAGAAATATCAACACGGACTCTGATTAAAGTCACACTTGGCCTCAAAAATAGTTACAGTGCGCGTGGACAATTTTCACTATATCATTACACTTTTGACAAGTGTCTATAGCTGTTTGGTTAAAAACAGCAACAGAAAGCAAGCTGTGGAACAATAATGCCAGCCAATAGTGTTTTTGGTAAAGGCCTGTGTGACTTAATGTATTCAAAAGAATGATCTCTTGTATACTTTAGGTTAAATTTGTTAGTATAATGACTTGTTTGCCTATGCCATAACTGTATCAATAATTATCAATATTATAAACCATGCAGGGGAAAAAAGTCAAGAGCATAATTTTGGCTCATTTGAATCTCCAGGTTCCTTCAATAAGACACCCAATACACACACAGACTGAATGTGAGGAGAGGAACACACACCTCAGCAATTCTGCAACTGACATAGGCTTTTTCTCAACAGGCCTGCATTTTCAATTCCACCCCCACAGTAGTTCAAGGCTTACTTTTCCATCCAGTTGAGTACAAAAACCGCACACAAAAAAAAAAGTTACTTATCGTTTTAAAAATGGAAACACGGCCTCTGACACTCATCAGAGGAGCTGAAAAAAAATGTATGTGGTGCTATTGAAAACTAATAATAAAGGTAGCAAGTAATAGACTTAAAAATACAGATATTTATTGAAGGTCATGGACAGAATAAAGGTTTTTCTTTATTTAGTAAATTTCATAAGCAAAACTCGTGCGTAAATTCACCAAATTGCATTACAAGGTGAAACTGCCCTGCTTGTAACCATCAATTTTACTATTATTCCAACTTTACACAATGACACTTGACGGTTATTTTTATATCCAGGTAGTAACGCAAGTCAGAACAAGACTCTACCTCATCGTGTCCACTTGTATAAGTCACATAAACACCACAGTTGTCCATTCAATCTAGTTGTAACATATTATATTGTGCCGTCTCTATCAAGAGCGTTACATTATGACAGCGTCAGGTCACGATAATAATAACAAAATAACAAATAACTTTTTTTAAATCAACATAGGCTTCCGTGCTTGGACTTATAAAATGGCGTTAAGTATTTACCCTAAAAAACAATACGCTTCAAGACAGTTTCACGACAACGTGGTCTTCTAAAAAAAAACAAAAAAACGAATTACAATCAAAGTCACCTGTTTATGCCAAGCTCGACGAATAAAGAGTTTCATACAGCTTACCGGCTAGAAAGGCTGATGTCTCCTCTATAATCTGATGCAGCACGGGCTCGGACTGAACTGCGTGTATCTGCGCCAGCGGCTCGTCCGTTACTCCCGCTCAAAAAGCGCCGTGAATAAACCCCAAAATGACACAATCTTCACCCCCGCCGCGCAGAATCCCAATCCCAAGACCCTCTGGTATTTTCCAGAATTTTTCAATATTTTTCCTCGCATCGAGTGTTATTTTTATATATTATTTTTTAAAAATCGCAGGTTTTCTACATGCGCAGCTGAGCGATAGCCCCCTTTTCTCCTCCGGCTCCACAATCGGCTCGTACTGGTCACTTCTGTGCTCGTCGACACTAGATCGCAGGCGATTTTACTCTCTAAACGCCGTTTAGATCGTGCCGTTTCCCCCGCATTCAGATAATAAGTGTTATTGTTTTAAGACGAAGCGTCGCGCGCGAGCTCAGTGTTGACGTTATCGCCGCTCACTCGAAAATGGCGCCTAAAGTGACTCTCCTCATTCAAATCGGTAGGAGCCGCCCCCAGCTCGCATGTGCATGCCGGGAACATGGACTTGGAGAGCGGTTTTGAAGGTGGGATAATAGAGTGATTTTACTGGAAGGAAATGTTTTTATTCATCACCGTCAAAGCGACGCGAAACAATCTTTTATTCTGTGAAACTGCACGTTTAAAGACGTGCGTGTGTTCAGAGGGGAAGACTACCGTGTGCCTCCGCCAATTGAGGGGAAGCACCCAAATCGGGATAAGAAGCCTCGAAAAAAAATAAAAAGTAGCCCTTGGCTATCTAATGCTTGTCATTTAAGCTACTTCATCGACTTCTTCCCTGCCAGTTCCCTATAGAGAAACTTATGTAAGGTGTTCTTCTGTATACGCCCTATGCAAACTGATAGTTCAGTCTCAGTGGTGTTGTAAAATATCCATTCTGCTCAGAAAGAGAGGGAGATATGACCTGGTTTTTCCTCGGCAACTGCTTTGTGACACACTTGAAAGCCCAAATCTTAATGCTGCCCACTTATCCACACGTAGAAGATACCAGCACAAGAGTTACCCCATTTCTTGTAATTTGGGTGATTTATTACTAACATTCATATGCAGCAGTATCAAGGCTGACTGAATATACATTACATCTATGGCAGCTTGCTGCCAATAGATGTGAACTACTGATAATCTCAGATGTTTTAGGCCTAGGCTATCTGAAGTTTCACAAAAAGCTTGTTTTATGAGCTGAATATATTAATAATCCACATTTTACGGTTGTATATAATAGACGTCAAAATCAACCTTATCACGGACCTCAACTTTGTTATTGTTAGATTGCATATAAATATTACAGCGCTGTGTAATTAGCTATATTAAAAGACATTGAGCTAATACAGCATGAATTACAGTCAAGTACATGAAGCATGACGCTTTTGGAAGTATATGAATAACCAAATGCACAATTTTAAAGTCCCTAATACTGTACATACATAGAGCTTTTTCACTTGGAAAACATACCAACAATAAATGCAGCCATATATTTAAGGCCCTTTTTTATACAGCAAGCTACATCATTACTGACTCATTTCTGAATTCGGGACTCGTGTCATAGAACAGAACAGAACTGTAACACACTCTCCATTCACGGCTTGAATTGCTGAATCAAATTAAACTTTCTGCCTTCATATTTCACCCTAAACAACTCTCGAAATAGACACACTGCAGGGCTGCAAATTACATTCAATACACTCAATGAAAAAATACAGAATTTTAATTTGCTTAACTTGTTATTTGAGTTTCCTGTTGGTGTATATCTGTCTTCTCTTTAAACAGATGTGTGGTTTTGTTTTGCAATTTGATGGAGTTGAAGAGGACACCAGAGTAAAAGAAAAAAATAAGCTGAAAATTTGCTGAGTCGGCAAAGTAAGTTGTGGCAGACTACAATTGCTGGGTCACTGAAAGTAGAAATTTTGTGTTTTGTTGTATGCAGTATCTGATTATTCTGACTCTTGCATTACATTAAACCCTTGACCTGTTGGCTTACTCATTCAAATGTGATATTTCTGATAAATTTGAAAGAAACCAAGTCAAGCCACATAATGCAGAAAAAATACAGAAAAGAAAACATGCCTTTCCGTTTATTCGAATTCATGATCCTAACATTTAAGTAATTAGCTGTGTTCTAATAAGGACAAATACGTGTGCTGTGCACCCAGCGCACTCTTGCACCCTCCACTTTTCAAACCTTTTTTTTCCGTAGGGGTGTGAAAATAGGGGCAGTTGTAAGGGGTGAACTTGAGTGTGTGTGTTTATGAAAGGGTTTTGTTCTCTCATTGAAGGGTCTCGGACCCCCACCCCACCCCAAAGCTGTCTGAAGCAGCTGCACCCCTGTGATCTCTTTAGTATGAGGGAGGGGGTGGGAGCATGTGAGGGGACAGCCCCCACTTTTATAGAGGCCAGAGCCTACACACTTAAGTAACAACATCCATCAAAAGCCAATAGATGCCTGCAAGTCAAGTCTGAGAATACAACAGCAACCTTCGACCCCTGTTAAGTGGGCCGGCCTAACAAGACACAGCCACTGACACATGGTGGTTTGTTTGGTTTAACTTCATTTATTAGTGACCCAAAGCGGGAGAGATCTTAAAGTGAATGGTATCTGATCTCATGGCTTTACAAAAAACTGTTGGGTTAAAAAGCTAATTTAAAAATGTAACCAAAATGTAACCCAACAGTTGGGTTAGTCCATATTTGACCCAACATTGGGTTGAAACAACCCAGCATTTTTTAGAGGTTCAAATAGGTCAGGTTTTTTTTCCACCTCACAGAACCTGTTAGCAGAGCAAACAAGTAATTTCACGCAAAACACACTTTATCTGAAATTTAGTTTCTGGCATTATAGCCTGGAAAATTTTGTACCAATCATAAAAGATAAATGTATGCTATTTATATACCACGCAATGGGGTGAAATGGCAATAGAATTTCAGTAAATGTAATATGTATTTATTATGACGTACGACATATTCATTCAATGATTATATGTAGTAATTTCATGTGATAGTGAACTGTCTTGACTTTGTAGCAAGTCATTACATGGTATTTCATCAACCCTGTCTAATTTATGGCATACCACTATCTATCATTATGGGATTTTATGAAGAGCACCAGCACAAAACCACACGTTTTGCCAGAGATAATGCACAGACCAATACAAACGCCCTCTTTGGATAGCTTAAGTCAATAATATATGAGTTCATTACTTCTTTTAAGCTGGCTTGGGTCACGGTAACGTTTTGATCATTTGAATGTGGTGAGTTTGGTCCACACAATGCATCCACGCCGTTACAAGCCATTTACGAGCACCTCGAAACATTTCCATGCGTCCGGCAGAGCAAGCGGTCAAAATGTTAAGCATTACTCTGCTTGTGGCAGTGAAAAAAGGGAGTCGACTGTGTACGGCGACGGACAGATACAAAGACACAACAGAAAGAGCTGCCGCTTCAGCGGTACGAACTCAAATCCAACCGGAAGTCCCGCCCCCCGGCAGCTTTAACTTCGATGATGTAACCCCTGTCCAAATTTAGAATGTTGTTGATGCCTCAGAAGTTTCTCCTCTGGCTGAGAGCGCTGTCTATCACTCGACGTCACGGCTATCCTGGTATTATTGTAAACAGTCAACCCGTTCTTTTACTGTCGTCCTCCACCTCACGAAATTCTCCCCCGGTCCTTTGTTCGCAAAGTATCGGCTCGGCATTAACAGCAACAGCGCAGGCACCGTTTGGTCGCGGAAATAAAACGCGCCTGTTCATACCCAGCAGTGAGAATGAGCAACATGTGAGAATATATTGGTTTTGAGACACACAACACATCCTCGTATAATTTTGGAGCGGCGGAATGGAAGCGGAATGCAGCTTCAGTGTAGTTGAACATGATAAAACCCGGCACTTCACTGCTTGGCATTCACTACAGCTTTTTGTGCTCGATGATGTATGTATACGCGCTCGAGCCGCTCTTTTGATATGCTATTCAACCTTTGCGATGCCACGAAATTAATCGTGGAAAGTGTCATTGACATTAGGCGACTTCTACTTCAATCCACCCCCCCACCCCGCGCGCGAGCTAGAGCGCATCCATCGCCTTTTGTTGAAACCCTTCAAGAAACACAAATAAACATTCATTCAAAAAATTAGCCCCTTTCTTTTCAGACCTAATAATAACTGTGCGACTGTGGTCGTTTACCACCTCCGCTTAAACATAGCCTATATGAATTTCAGATAAGCTCGATAATGAATCGTAAACAACACGGCAACTTTCGTCCTCGAACATTTCAATCGCACAGCCAATACGCGAGAAAACGCAATGTGAATGGCAACTCGACAACAAAGCTTCGCTCCGTCGTATTTCCTCTTATGAAGCAGGGGAGCGCGAGCGGAGCTGGAGAGATTGGATAAGGAAAAGAAAAGGCTGGTTTGTGATACTTACTTCAGGCTTGGAATAACCTGGGAAAGTGCAAATCCGTTTTACGTGTACGTCGAGCCAATGAAGCGGTGGGAAAGATATTCCGGTAGAATGCCGGACCCATCAGTATGTCACTGAAGCCCTTCTCTAGCTCTATTATTGCAATTACGCCAAGCTTCAAGGAAGTTGTCCTTTTGTTCCAGCATTTATACATTGCGTCAATGTTGCGAAAAGAGGAGGCGGAGCGGTGGCACTTGGAGTACGAGAGAGAGAGAGAGAGAGACAGAGAGAGAGAGAGAGAGAGAGAGAGAAGAAGCGAGCACACGACCTTATGTACACAAAACCCAGACCCTCCACCCTATAACAAAATCGACGGGATCAGATGCGATCACGTGTCCCCCTTCACTGTACAGCTCGACTCATACGGGGCAAGATGTGCGCTCGCTGGGGGGAAGCACGAAGTGCCAGGCAAGTCTTCATTAAAGCGCTGCAATGACAAGCTCGAGCAGCTTACACACTGACAGCGAGAACGGATATCTTTATTAAGTGTGTATGTGTATATGTGATTGTATGAATATTTCTGCAATATATTTTTTCATGTTTAGTCAACGTAAGTCATGTTGCAATGCCTTTAGAGTTTTTTGAGTGTTTAATCAGGGCTGTCATGGCACTGTGGCGATCCAGTTGTAAACCACAAAGTTCATGCTGTATCCACAAAGATATTAAAAGAGCTTTCTTTTATATAAGTAGATTCAGCATGCATGCATAGCCTAAAGTAGGTATAGTTTGCAGTGAACTGAATTACTTTATGTAGTGATGCATGCGTAGTGTCCTACTGAATCAACCGGACCATTACTCCAGTTACAACAGAGTTGCATCACGGAGTTTTGCTTGTCGATTTTCTGCTTCGCTCCACGGCCAATAAAGAGTCCGGTAGATACTCAATTAGATAACCAACTGTTGTATGTAATTAAGCGTAACAAAGTCACCTGCATGGATTAATTCAGATATTATTTGA